AAAGTCGCAGCAGCCGCAGTCGGGACGACCACTGCTCAGCGCCACCCCGCGGTGCTCCCGTACCCTCTCCTTCCTCCCGCTGCATCTGCTCTCTTTGGCGCGCGTGCGGTGATGCACCGACTCGGAGGACCGCTCTAGAGGCGCCTCCTCGGTCCTCTTCGACTGCGCCTTGAGGTACAACCCTCGCGGGTTGATGTAGCTTCTCCGCTCCCGTGACGCCAACACAGAGAGAGGCTGCATCGCTCTTCTCGCCCCGCGGACTGCACTGTGAGTTTTTTTCCCCTCTGTTTTTTTTCTTCCTTTCATCGCAATGCCTGCATTTGCTTACTCCGAGATGATGAATTAGTTTTTTTCTTTCAATCTCATCGTCCGTGGGGGGCTAGTACGCGTGGATCGTTTAGTCCTCGCTCGCGCGCGTGTCACGAAGGAAAAAATAGAAAACGATAAGAGGCATTATCAACTTATTGTGTCATAACTATGATGGGTCAAGCGTTGCTTATTCGTACCATGATTGGTGCACCTGTAATCCAGCAAATGTTGAATTTTTCTACGAATTTCGTGATTTCCAACGAGTTTCGACAGAGACACAAGTCCCTTTAACGATCGCGTACTACACTGTATACACGCTAGCCCTGATACCTCTCGATCATTACGTACAAGTTCTCTGCACGAGGCGGCCTGGGAGCGCGATTATTACCACCAGTCAGGGGCGCGAGCCTCGTGCCTAGGAGTTGTTAGGCATACACCTCCCCCCCTCGGTTAATATAATGCACGGCAATCGTCGATAATGCTAATGCGATCGGAAACTTTGTGGCCGAGTAATTAGGTATCAAGGCTTATTGGTTGGGCGCTGCGGTGAGTTATTGCACGACTACGCGATTTCGTCTCTAGAAATCGGTAAACCGGTTTTTTTTTTCCCAAACGATGGATGGATCCACTGTAGTGCTCGTTTCGGACAAATCAAAAACGTTTTATACGTACGGCTGGTAATTAAAAATGGCAAAGCGCGCACGAGATCGGCAGGGCATAGCGTGTGTTCGGTTCGAAGTTTTCAATCAAAAAAATTATTCGGGGATGCCGAAAAAAAGTAGTTTAAAACTTCATATATGTATACCTTTCACAGCCGGGGAAGAGAGAAAACTTTCATCGGTGTGTATATTATAAACGAGCCAACCTGTTTCGGCAATTAAAGGGCGACCGATCGATCCCGCCCCAATGCTCACTTTCACGAGTCGAAATCTCGACTGTACGTACGGAACACTCGATCGATTTTTTTTTTCTTTCCCCCTCCATCGAAGTCTGTTTCGAAACTCACCACCAAGCCCACCTTCGGCGATCATTACTATTCAATATTCCGGTGCTCAAATAACTCCAATAATACCTCCCGAGCACGGAAAGACGTCAGGCGCCGTCACAGGGCACGAGTGCAAAAAAAAAGAAAAAAAAAAAAAAATTACTGCATGAATCGAGAGAAAAAAAATTAAGTACACAAAATCTACGGCCCGCATTCGTCGATTCTCCGGGCCTCCTTAGCCTTCCGGGACTTTTTGATCTCCATGGCGAGCTTGTAGCCCAGCTCGGGTCTCCTGTCCTTCCCCTCGACCATCGCCAACACTTGGCTGGACGTAACAACCACCCCATGGCTTCCCATAATCGTCGCTTTGGTCTTCTCGATGTCGACGAGATCAACACCCCGACAGCAGTCGTCGATCATCACAGTGCGGTAACCGCTGCCCAGGGCGTCGACAGCCGTGGCACCGACGCACACGTCGTAGGCGACCCCGCAGACAAAGACATCGGTAGCCCCGATCTCGCGCAGCTGCGAGTGCAGGGACGTCTCCGAGAGCCGCTTGTTGTCCCAGAACACCGAGTACGAGTCTATCTCCGGGTTGGTGCCCTTGTACACCTTGACGGCGCCCTCGGCGATCTTCAGGTCCTTGTGCAGCTCCGCGCCCCACGTGTCCTGGACGCAGTGCCGGGGCCAGAGCCGCTGGTTCATCAAAGGTGGGCCCTTGAAGGTCACCGTGTCGTACACCCGTGCCTCGTCCTTGGGGATGGCGCTCGTTTCGTCGAGCTCCCTGTCTCGGAGAAAAATAAATCCGCCAATTTTTCCTCATGCACATACATATACCGGGTATACGAGAAATATATGTGTATGGCGAACGTACCGGAGATGCAAGTTGTCGATGAAGGACACGTGGTCGACCGGATGCCAGTCGAGGGAGTAGAAAATCGCGTCGAAGGGAACGGTGTCGACGAGCTTGTTTATGGGCTCTATCACCTCGGAGCCGTCGTGGCGGGCCGCGCACTTTTTAATGTCCAGCGAACCGATGATGAAGTCGTTTTGCACGTCCACCACGAGCAAGGCGCACTTTGGCCTCGTGCACACCTTGATCCAACGGTTCCAGCACATCTGCGGAAAGATCGTGGTTTGTACCATGCGGTTTCACCCCTTTTTTTTTTTTTTTTTTTTTTTTTTTTTTTTTTTTTTTTTTTTNCTAAGCATTAGTTTTTTTCGAGTAGATTCCATTTGAACGATACTTGGGTACACCTATCGTTTTCTCATTTAACAGATGGAAATGGTAGATGGCAAGTAAGTTTAATACAATTGTAATGCAAACATACAATATTATTATTATTATTATTTTTTTTATGTTGCACACTTTGGGATTTTTTTTTTTTTTTTTTTTTCTAAATGTGCAGTGCACTGTTTAAATATACATCTACAATACAGTGTACTCACTCGATGATGTTTTTCCAACAACAAAAGAAGGAATTTAAATTGGAGATGATGTTTTATTTTCGTATCGTAATATCTGGGAAGCGATGAAAAGGAGTAACAAGGCATCAAGTGTATCGTTAACAAATTGCCATTTTTCAAAGCCATTGAAATAATTGCCCCAACTTTTGGGTGCAGCCGATAATTGCAGGTATACGCGGGAGTGCCTTTTGTTTTACATCGCGTTAGCTCTACTTTGGACTCGTGGTCGTAAAAAATAAAGTGCGCCTGTACACAATGCACTTCCGTTTGAATTCAAATTCCAAAGATGTGCGTTGCGTAATGGAGGGGAAAAAAAATTAGGCGGAAATTTGACTATTGTGCCTTTTTTGCTTCATCGCTTTGTTGATTCGTAAAAAAAAAAAACATCGAGTCACGCTTGTTCGGTTGATGAAAAAAAAAAATCTGTAAACTTGAATGAACGTATCTTTGGTAAGTATAACGATCGATGATCGATCGAATCAAATATAAAATACTGCTAAAATCAAGGCCGAAAGTGCCTTTGGAGCGAGAAAAAAGAAAACCACCCGCTGAGCGGCCGGCGCGAAAAGGGGGAGACGAGCGTATCGGGGCATCATACCCCATAATCACCGCTGTATTGTATTCTCAGTCGTTATTGGCAAGTTGGAACGTAAAGGGGGGAAAAAAAAAAAAAAAAAAAGGAAACAAAGTATGTCAAACCTCGAACTCTTTGCGGTCGATTTTCCCGTCTCCATTGGTGTCGAAGACATCGAAGATTTCCCTCAGCCGGTCCTCCTCGATGCCATAAACCTTGCCCCGCTCGTTGCGAAACAGCGCCTTGCAGATGAGCTCGAACTCGTCGATCGACAGATAACCGTCCTTATCCTTGTCGAAAGCGTCGAAGCACGCGTCCATTGCCTCTGGTATCATAATGGAACCACCGCGGAGCTCCAGGACTCGTCTTACCCGCCAACCTAAACGTTACACGGCAAAACGACGCTACCTAGGAAGCGACAGTTTGATCGATGCCCGCGGTATACAGCAGCATGCACTGTAGCATTGCCAGTGGTGTGTCTACACTGTACACACGTCATTCTTCGGCGTATTACGCCAGCTGTGAAACCCCTATATATACGTTGCGTATAAGGTACAATCCCCTCCTCTTTTTTTTCTTCTTTATAATATACACACAGCTCTGACGATGACGAGCCTCCTCTTGCACGCGCGCGTCATTCATTGCCGATATACTTATTATATTTATGTACCTCTTATGTGCACAATAGACCTTAAAATCCATCGAGCCGCGTCACGCGATAGCGTGAGTTCTGGCTTTTAAATTTAGGCTGCACGGAGTGAGGGACGGCTCCTCGCGTGTTTAATTTGTAACTTCGCACATTCGTGCCCTCCAACATCATCTGTGCCGAGCCAAACGATTTTTATTATGGTATCGGTATAGGTGGGCGTGATTTGGCCGCCGAGAGAGCGGCTTTTTATTGGAGCTCGCGCGTGCTTATCGCGAACGAGGCTGATAAAAGTTTCGTGGAGTGAGATCGGTTTAGAATGTATACGTGCATATCACATGGAGGAGGGCCCGCCTTCGCTCTTCTCTCGCGTGTCTGGAAAAATCATTCTGCCTTGTTTCTTTGGCATATTGAATCAAATCCTTGATTAGCGTTTTATGCTGGGTGCAATTTTTATTTTTACCTCGCCAGGTTTCTTGGATCATTTGCAGCAAATGAGATGACGTGTTAACTGCGTACCCAAAAAAACTTTGTTATTTTTTAAGTAAAAGGGTGTTTAAAATAACGAGCGCATTTATTAGTCAGAAAATTTATTCTTAAACGCTTTTCCTCCGATACTTATTTCGAGATGAAACTAAAAAACCGCGTCGCGTGAGATGCGAAAAAAAAATGGCCCCAATTGCCGTAGTACTTGTCCGTTTGAAAATTTCGTTTTTATCAGTGTATACGGAGCTTATAAATAGTATATTGGTTTTTTAATCTCTTTACGCTCTAGTACTCAACAGTTACCGTTTAAAGGGGCCTTTTTTGTAATATGTATAAAAGTGGAAAAACATTTTTTTTAAAGTATGCGTACATTACGTTTAATAGTTTTTTCATTGGGTCATGTAATAAATTTTTGAATCTTTAGATTAGACCGTTTCGTATTCTATAGAGATGACGCTGAATGCGTAAGAAATTTTTGTTTGCAACACTATAGTTGTAAATGATACTAGTACCAGTGTTTTCTCAAACGTAATTATGGTGTTAGCTTTGGTAAAGTGTGCCATCGTTACAGTAACAGCTTTCATCTCGGTATATTTTTTAATCAACTATTGGCAAATATATGTGGAATAAATGTAACTGTAAAGTACATGTTGTAAGTGAAACTTATTTCTTGTTTTGCGCTTCAAAATCGTAGTTTTATTATAGTATTCCGTCACTACTGTAGCCTATTTTGGGTCTTTTTAAAATAATATATTATCAATTAGAATGAATATTTCAAATATAGCAATGAAGTCAGGCCCAAACCTTACTACTTCGTTTGGACTTTACATAACGTATAAACAGTTTTGAAAAAGGTTCCGAATAATAAAATGAGAAAGTCCCATTGTATCTATCAAAATATTGTGCGAAATGATCTGTAATATGTACATCTTAAATGTGTATTGAGATGTATAAATAGCTTTAGTACAAGAAATGTGGATTTGCCAACTGTTTTTTTAATTTTTACTCCAAGTGGTTCTCGCAGAGATGAGGCATTACTTAAAAAAAAAAAAAAAAAAAAAAAAAAAAAAAAAAAATAATTTTTTTTTTTTTTAATCTCCCCCTTTTTTTTTTTTTTTTTTTTTTTTTTTTTTTTTTTTTTTTTTTTCTAAATGTGCAGTGCACTGTTTAAATATACATCTACAATACAGTGTACTCACTCGATGATGTTTTTCCAACAACAAAAGAAGGAATTTAAATTGGAGATGATGTTTTATTTTCGTATCGTAATATCTGGGAAGCGATGAAAAGGAGTAACAAGGCATCAAGTGTATCGTTAACAAATTGCCATTTTTCAAAGCCATTGAAATAATTGCCCCAACTTTTGGGTGCAGCCGATAATTGCAGGTATACGCGGGAGTGCCTTTTGTTTTACATCGCGTTAGCTCTACTTTGGACTCGTGGTCGTAAAAAATAAAGTGCGCCTGTACACAATGCACTTCCGTTTGAATTCAAATTCCAAAGATGTGCGTTGCGTAATGGAGGGGAAAAAAAATTAGGCGGAAATTTGACTATTGTGCCTTTTTTGCTTCATCGCTTTGTTGATTCGTAAAAAAAAAAAACATCGAGTCACGCTTGTTCGGTTGATGAAAAAAAAAAATCTGTAAACTTGAATGAACGTATCTTTGGTAAGTATAACGATCGATGATCGATCGAATCAAATATAAAATACTGCTAAAATCAAGGCCGAAAGTGCCTTTGGAGCGAGAAAAAAGAAAACCACCCGCTGAGCGGCCGGCGCGAAAAGGGGGAGACGAGCGTATCGGGGCATCATACCCCATAATCACCGCTGTATTGTATTCTCAGTCGTTATTGGCAAGTTGGAACGTAAAGGGGGGAAAAAAAAAAAAAAAAAAAGGAAACAAAGTATGTCAAACCTCGAACTCTTTGCGGTCGATTTTCCCGTCTCCATTGGTGTCGAAGACATCGAAGATTTCCCTCAGCCGGTCCTCCTCGATGCCATAAACCTTGCCCCGCTCGTTGCGAAACAGCGCCTTGCAGATGAGCTCGAACTCGTCGATCGACAGATAACCGTCCTTATCCTTGTCGAAAGCGTCGAAGCACGCGTCCATTGCCTCTGGTATCATAATGGAACCACCGCGGAGCTCCAGGACTCGTCTTACCCGCCAACCTAAACGTTACACGGCAAAACGACGCTACCTAGGAAGCGACAGTTTGATCGATGCCCGCGGTATACAGCAGCATGCACTGTAGCATTGCCAGTGGTGTGTCTACACTGTACACACGTCATTCTTCGGCGTATTACGCCAGCTGTGAAACCCCTATATATACGTTGCGTATAAGGTACAATCCCCTCCTCTTTTTTTTCTTCTTTATAATATACACACAGCTCTGACGATGACGAGCCTCCTCTTGCACGCGCGCGTCATTCATTGCCGATATACTTATTATATTTATGTACCTCTTATGTGCACAATAGACCTTAAAATCCATCGAGCCGCGTCACGCGATAGCGTGAGTTCTGGCTTTTAAATTTAGGCTGCACGGAGTGAGGGACGGCTCCTCGCGTGTTTAATTTGTAACTTCGCACATTCGTGCCCTCCAACATCATCTGTGCCGAGCCAAACGATTTTTATTATGGTATCGGTATAGGTGGGCGTGATTTGGCCGCCGAGAGAGCGGCTTTTTATTGGAGCTCGCGCGTGCTTATCGCGAACGAGGCTGATAAAAGTTTCGTGGAGTGAGATCGGTTTAGAATGTATACGTGCATATCACATGGAGGAGGGCCCGCCTTCGCTCTTCTCTCGCGTGTCTGGAAAAATCATTCTGCCTTGTTTCTTTGGCATATTGAATCAAATCCTTGATTAGCGTTTTATGCTGGGTGCAATTTTTATTTTTACCTCGCCAGGTTTCTTGGATCATTTGCAGCAAATGAGATGACGTGTTAACTGCGTACCCAAAAAAACTTTGTTATTTTTTAAGTAAAAGGGTGTTTAAAATAACGAGCGCATTTATTAGTCAGAAAATTTATTCTTAAACGCTTTTCCTCCGATACTTATTTCGAGATGAAACTAAAAAACCGCGTCGCGTGAGATGCGAAAAAAAAATGGCCCCAATTGCCGTAGTACTTGTCCGTTTGAAAATTTCGTTTTTATCAGTGTATACGGAGCTTATAAATAGTATATTGGTTTTTTAATCTCTTTACGCTCTAGTACTCAACAGTTACCGTTTAAAGGGGCCTTTTTTGTAATATGTATAAAAGTGGAAAAACATTTTTTTTAAAGTATGCGTACATTACGTTTAATAGTTTTTTCATTGGGTCATGTAATAAATTTTTGAATCTTTAGATTAGACCGTTTCGTATTCTATAGAGATGACGCTGAATGCGTAAGAAATTTTTGTTTGCAACACTATAGTTGTAAATGATACTAGTACCAGTGTTTTCTCAAACGTAATTATGGTGTTAGCTTTGGTAAAGTGTGCCATCGTTACAGTAACAGCTTTCATCTCGGTATATTTTTTAATCAACTATTGGCAAATATATGTGGAATAAATGTAACTGTAAAGTACATGTTGTAAGTGAAACTTATTTCTTGTTTTGCGCTTCAAAATCGTAGTTTTATTATAGTATTCCGTCACTACTGTAGCCTATTTTGGGTCTTTTTAAAATAATATATTATCAATTAGAATGAATATTTCAAATATAGCAATGAAGTCAGGCCCAAACCTTACTACTTCGTTTGGACTTTACATAACGTATAAACAGTTTTGAAAAAGGTTCCGAATAATAAAATGAGAAAGTCCCATTGTATCTATCAAAATATTGTGCGAAATGATCTGTAATATGTACATCTTAAATGTGTATTGAGATGTATAAATAGCTTTAGTACAAGAAATGTGGATTTGCCAACTGTTTTTTTAATTTTTACTCCAAGTGGTTCTCGCAGAGATGAGGCATTACTTAAAAAAAAAAAAAAAAAAAAAAACGAAAAAAAAAATTCTTGATTAAAGATATTTATAGGATTTTTATCTATGTAAAAACATTGTTTCATTTCTGTTGTTCTAAAATATCGATAGTCACGTGATTGAGACCTTTTCATTCGTTGTGTGATTGGTTGCAACAGGTCTAGTGGATCGTTTGGCGGGATTTTCGAAAGATCAGTTGCGTTAAATTCCAATAGAAATTGAAACAAAATTAGAGTATAATATAAATAAAATAAAGAGCAATTCAATTTGATTCGTTAATACACTAAAAATGTTGAGACAAATAACTTTTTTTATCAGAGTTTAGATGAAATAAAATTATACGTAATTTTCAAATACCCTAACATAATATACTGTGTCGCATATATTTTTATTTTAAAAATATTTTAAAAATTATTACTGATCAATTCATACGATGGCGTTCAAATTCAAAGATGTCTTAATAAAAAAAAGATTTGTATAAATTAGTGGCAACATTAATATTGCATAGGTCGGATTTAAGACGTATGTTTTCAAAGACCAAAAATGAGCAAAAGAAATGTAAGCAAAATTATATTCTCTTCTCTATTTTTGTAAGGGTATAAGTTGGTTGAATAAATACGATACACTGTAAACTTTTAAAAGATTTATTTGTATAATGAATTTTTGTACAACGACGTTTCCGTTATTTTATTAAAGTTTTTCAAATCTTTGTTTTCCTAATACATTCACTGTAACTATTACTCTTGTTCTTCAAAATTTATAATATCATACCGCTGACTTAATACAAGTAAGAACGTAGAAAAAACATTTTAGAAAAGAAACTTGTCGCTCAAATAAATCTCTTTTCTTTTCCTGCAGTAAAAGAATGTGAAGTTAAAAAACGTCCGAAAAATTGATAACGTTATAAATAGTTCAATAAAACTGTTTCATACATTTTTTTGTATTTTTCCTTATTGACTTTGAACTCTCTTATTCCATGCAAAACAATGTTTTACAATATAAAAATTTTTCATGGCAGCTTATATACAAAAGGTAAAAAGATTTATATGATCTATACAACTAATTCATACGACAAGTTTGTTCTTGTTCGAATCAAGGATAAAAGGTAAGTAATTATATCAAACGCGTTGGCTTTTTCTTTAATAATTTATGGAAAACAATCTATAAATATTTTTTTTTTCTTTTTTTTTTTTATCCGTCGAAACGTATAGGTATATTCTTAATAATACAAGTAACGTTTTTCGAATCGATCCGCCCGGTTATACAAAGGTGTTCGTACATTTATATACGTATACAATGAAATATCGAGCAAAACACTCTTACCCGATATAATTTAATTTCTTTGGCAGTAATTAGTCTTGGCTTGCTTTGGAGATCATTGAAACTTTGGCATATGCGATTATTTCCTTAACACCGGTAAACGATTTTCCTCCCAGGACCGTTTTATTTTTATTTTCCCACCTAAAATCCGACCACGAAACGATGGCTCTTCGCAGTCCTCGGGGAAAATCTGTTTCTAAAATGAAATTTCACACGCACGCAGTGGCAGTAACATCATGTATTGGACTCTCTCTCACACCCACATGTAAGAACATATGTATAACAACACAAGCATGCGAGGCAGTTTCACAGAGCCGGCTATAATATGTATATGCTTCGTTTGGCTTTCAATATATAAGTGTAGTTTCGACAACGGGTTATTTACAAGGACTCTTGCGCGTTACATTCACGGTACGTATTTCACGGGTTTCCTGATGGATGCGCCCCTCGTCAGCACCTAGCTCGAACTTTTTCAAAACGACGTTTGGCAGTGGCGCGAGCGTCGAACGTCACTTTATTCAGGATCGATCATACGTGTATCGTGAACTCCTGCCGCTCCTGTTCCTTGCGCCTCACGTGTCTGGAACACGCGTGAGCATATTGTATAGACATTAGTCTAGTTTTTAGTCTGTCACATGTTAGCGAATGAAGAAAAAAAAAAAAAAAAAAAAATGGTACCTCGCAAGCATCGTTTCGGCAGCGTCGATGGGCAGCCTACTGAGGCTACCCCCGTATTGAGCGCCGCCACCGGACTTTCTCCGCCACTCGCGCGATGCCTCCCGCTGCTGCTGCTCGATGAGCTCGCGGCTGTCGCTAAAACCGCTGGGCGGCATCAGCGTCATGTCTTCCATAGAACTGCGAGTTCGTGCGCGGTACCATAACAGACAAGAAGAATTTGTTTTTGTTTTTTTTTGTCGCTAATATCGTTATATTCATGTCTACACCAATGTTACTTATTATTGGACAATTTAGTCGTGCTCTAATTTAAAGTATATAGTATAGTACTGGCGATCCAATTAATGCGTATTGTTCTTGGACATGCTGCAACGATTACAAAAACTACCCTCTCTGTTGACGAATTTTATCTGATTGTCGTGTATAGTAAATCGGGAGTCCTATTGGTTATTAGATAGTTGATCCATATATACATCGTGCCTTTACTATTACAACACATGGATTCTATAACGATTTTTGATGAGGGGAAAAAAAAAAAAAACATCAACAATAATTAAAACAAAAAATAATAATGAGGCGTGTATAGTATAGAGAGACGAAGAAAAAAAGGGAGGAATAAGTATCGATAAAGTGAGACTGTGAGTGCTATTTGAAAGCAACAAACCTCGGCTACCTTCGAACGGACCGGCCGCTTGGCTGACGACTGCGACGCCTCGCAAGTGACGGCGAGCCTTCGTTATTCGACTCTGTGCTCGACTCGACGCCCCGCGCAAACACATCTGTTATGGTTTTAAAGTAAAATACTTTTTACGTGCACATTAGTTGATCAAGTTTTTTATTTTTTTTTTTTTTATTTTCAACAATCATTGATTAAGGGAGAGTGCAATTTACGACAGTGGCTTACTATTATGCAGGAATATAACAATAAGTATAGTTTGAGGTGAAGAAAAAGAAGAAGAGAAAATTGTTGTTTACCTCTGCTCGGCTTGACCGGCACCCGGTAACTCGGCCCCGAGCACTCGCCGCACGGGCTGCCGGACGTGTCGCTGCCCGAGCCCTGCCGATTGTTCCTCATTTTGCTCTCGGCCTCGGCGATGCTCGGAAAGTAGCGCTGCTTGTGCCACCTGGGGGTTTTCGATCTGCACCATATCGGGATTTTACTCTTTTTATTTTAAAAACCCTCGGGAAAAGGAGGGGGATCTACGTATAGGAGAGGGTGTCGCGCCGGCAATGTCGAGCTTCACCTTTCAAAGTCGACGCTCGAGCGCTCGTAGTCCATCGTGTTGATGTCCTCGTTCTCCAGGTGGCCGAAGGTTTTGAACTGCATCGTGTAGTCGAGGGTTGCGGTCGTCACCGAGCGGTTGTCGCGCCCCGGCACGCTGAACGTCGCGTAAGGGCTGATCTCGTACATTTCTGAGGATTAACGAAAAATCATCAGTATAATATGAGCTTCCAAATGAAAGGTATAAAAAGCTGACAAAAAAAACATTGTTTGTAAAACCTTGAAACGCTTAAAAGACAAAGGTTGCAATAAAATTGTAAAATGTTGCGAACGTTTCCTTTTCGGGTTAACTTGTGATTGGTGCCATTAGTGGTCATATTCAGAGGGCGGATGTGAGAAACGTTGCAACCTATTGCCAACCTCCATAAAGTCCTATAAACAATGTTTTTAATGGAATTAAAATGGTTTTTTATAATATGTGGCGAGGGATCAGTTGGAATTATGGTTAAGTAAGGCCAAACCCACCCGAGCCGTGGTCGACGGGGGGCTTGTGATTGTCCTGCTTGACCGGGGAGCTCGTGTAGACCTGGTGGTTCCGCCTGTTGTCCCTCTCGGCGGTCGACTTCATCTGCACCGTCGACATGCAGCTGGACAGATGGTGATGCGGCTGGTGCTGCGAGTTCAAGCCCAACCCTGTCGGCGGCTGCTGTCCCGGGAGTATGTCACCGAGGTATCCCCCGCGCTCCTTGCGCTTGAGCATCACGTAGCCCACGACTACGGCCGACCCGATGAGCGCCACAACGCACAGGAACGGCACGACCACGTACAAGAACTTGTGGTTCGTGGACGAGGTCGACGCGTCCTCGCCCATGACGAAGTCGTTCAGGGGACCGATGCTCACGCCGCTCAGCGTCGTCGTCGCAAAGTCCAACAGAGCCTGAGTCGAGCCGGCGTCGTTGTGCGCCGTCAGACGGAGACTGTACCAGTTGGCGGGCTTAAGGTCGCGGATGACAATGTTGTCGGTCGCCTGGCTTGTCACCAGGTTCCACTGGTCCTGGCCGCTCTTCTTCCGAAACTCCACCGTGTAGTACTCGATCGGGCAGTCGCCGTTCGGCCAGTTCAGCAGGAACAGCCGCACCGACGTCGCGTTCGCCATTATGATGTCTCGCTCCCTCGGCGTCTGCGGAGCTTAAACGCAAAACACCCTCGTTGTTTGATGGGAAAGAGATGGCGACAGGGCGCGTACACGGTATACCTTTGCCTTTGGTGGTGGCACTTATGAGTGGACTCGGGTCCCCGGAGCCAACGCGATTCTGGGCCGACAAGTGGGACACGTAGGTGGAGCCACATTTGAGTCCAGTCAGGGTCCACTCGGTGTGCTCGGGAGACAGGGCGATCTCCTCCCAGCCGCTCTTGTCCTTCTTGTAGCTGAGCACGTAGCCTAAAACAGTGCGAATGGTCTCTGTGAAGATTGTCGTTATCATGGGACAATCATCGACATCGAACCTTGAATGCTGGCGCCACCGTTGTCCGGATGGTTCCAGAACAGTTTTATGCTGTCGGTTGTCGTGTACTGGAGCTGAAGCGTTGGTGCCTTGGGTGGCATAACGACGACCAGGGTGTACGTTATCGAGTCGTCGCCGTAGGTGTTACTCGCCGAGCAGCTGTAGTTGCCAGCAACCGACTGCTCGAGTGCTGCGAATAAAAATAAGCCAGATGCAATGATTTGGTAATTTCAAGGACAAATGGATGCATACCGTGGATCTTTAAATGCCCGTCCGACGCGATCTCGTGGTGCTTGCTCTTGGTGACCTGGCTGTTCTTGTAGGTCCAGAGCGGTCGGGGAGTTGGGTTACCGACAACGATGCACGACAACGTTACCGACGACTTGACCGGCTTTTTTAAAACCTGCGAGAACGACGCCACCCTCGCCGGAGCTGAAATTAATTGATTTCATCCCCTCATTGAGAATACGATAGAGCTATATTTCTCGTCTGTACCCAAGATCGATCAATTACTTTTGCTACCTTTCGTGTCCGTCTTTTGCGAGACTATGGTCGTGGCTTCGCCTTCGCCCGACGCCGTAGACGCCGTGACCCAAAACTCGTACAATTGCCTGACAACGAGAATCAGTGGATATATATACCCTCCCACGCAACTATATATGGATTGTAAAATCGAGTGTATACATGTGCTTTACCTTTCGTTGAAATCGCGCAACTCCTTGGTCAGCGTGTCGGAGGAGGATGACGGGGGCTCGTGTATCGTGTAGGTGTCGTGGCGGCTCGAGCCCTCCTCCCTGAAGTAGACCGTGTACTTTGAAACTCGGCCGTTGGGCTGCAAGGGCGGCAGCCACGACACCAGTATAGACTCCGACGACAACGCCAGTGCCTTTATACCAGCTGGGGGTCCCGGTACTACAAGGGAAAAAAAAAATCGGTTGTGGCATTGACTAATGTGTATCATAATATATATATATACCATCTTCCTCGGTCGCGCAGTATATCGGATTGCTGAGGACCCCGTCCCCGGCCCCCGTGTACGCGAGCACCCGGATCGAGTAGTTTGTGAACTTGTAGAGCGTGTGCAGGTACGTTTCGTCGCTGGTGGTCTTCTTGATCTCGCCCGTCGTCGAGATTTCCACTGCGCGATAAAACAAAAACCGTTAACCGTGCGCTCGCTTACTGTTATGGTCTGGTTACAGATGAGCATAGAGTAGGGATTACGAACTATTGTCCGTCGGTACGGGCCGGTAGAAAACCTTGTAGCCCTGAATGATGCCACCGTGCTGGTGGGCGGGCGGGGCCTTCCAGCTGACCCGGACGCTCTGCGACGCGAGCGAGGAGCAGGTGACTTCGATCGGAGGCGCGCTCGGCACTGAAGAGAGAGAGAGAGAGGGGGAAAATCGTTTTGTGATCCTGTCTTCCTGATAAGTATAATACACCACTCGATGAGTCGTCTTTTACCTCCCTCCTGCGTGGTGCCGGTGATGCGAGAGCTGACCGGTCCGCTGGCTATGCTGTTGAACGCCCTGATGGTGATGTCGTACTTGGTAAAGTTGCGCAAACCCGTCAGCTGGACTTTGTTGGTCGCCCAGCCGTTCACGTTGAGGCTCTTGCTCTGGTTGACCCCCGAGGTCGCGGAAGACTGCTCCGACCACGTGACGATGTAGCCCAAGAGGTCGCCGTTCCAGGACTCCCGTGGTGGTGCCTGTCGTCGATTGTCACTAGTGTTATTTGTTCTTTCGTACGTGTGACGTGTGCTTTTATTATTATTATTATTATTATTACCTCCCAAGTGACTATCAGCTCTCCGGGCCCGGCCGAGCTGACTTTGATGTTCTGCGGGGGTTCCGTGGGTGCTGGAAACAATGCCCGGGGGTTAGCACTCGTTGAAACTTTTACGAGAGTTTTTTCGGAATAGTACCTTCTTCCTGAGTTTTAGCAACTGCTGGGCCGGTTGGCTCGCTCGTGTCGATGAAATTAATGGCGAACACGCGGAATTTGTAGGTCACGGCTGGATGGAGTCCTCCGACCAGCACTGTCTCCTGGTCATCCGTGGACGTCTCGTAACGAACCATACCTTTGAGGCACAATGAGTTACGTTGCTAATATGTATTTTATTAGGCACGATTGCTTCACTGGAGTATTTTACATTTTCATCGGGGCTAATGCATTTTTCTGGTCCAAAGAACGAAAAATCGAGGTTTATAAATTTTGAAATCAAAAAAGTTGTGGATCTTATAAAAATGCAACCGCAAATGCCATTCCAATGATCTTGTGGATGAAAATCGTTTAATAAAGAATGAATGTGTTTACATCAGATTACTCTTTTATCCATGATTCATTTATAAATTTGAAACATAAAATACTCCTTGATGAAGGGAATACCGATGGGAGATGTATAAATACCGTTCTGTGGAGGATTGGAGGCGTGTCCGTAGTATGAGCCGGGAGCATGGGAAATATTGTGGGTCTTGGAGGGCTCCCAGTCGTCCTCGAGTATGCCATGGGAGACTGGCTGGTACTCGATAACGTACTCCCGAATCAGACTGTTACCGTCAAAGGCTTTGTTCCACGAGAGCTTGATCGATCTCGAGCCAATCTCGATGACTTCGAGCGCCGATGGTGCGTCGGGCCTCTCTGTATTTCAATGGGAAATGTCAATTCTATGGACTTGCGCTTCCATTCGTTATCGATCCTACACGACTACTTTATGCTATCGCTTGGACGTATAATTACGACGAATAAATAACATTTCCTCTCCGTTTGATTCGAAAATCAGAGAGAATAAAATTTTGCACCCGATGTAGATGCAGTGGTGCCCAAAGTACCGATTCGCTCTCTCCCTGACTCGTTGGACCGAATCGCAACAGATGAGCAATAAACAGCCCCACTCCTAACAAATGAATGAAAAAAGAAAAACAAGGAAAACGCACCTTGTACAGCCAGATAGATAAAGTGCTCGCTGTGCCCGTAATCGTTATCAGCGGTGCACTTGTAAACCCCGGAATCCTGCCGATCTCCGTGCCCGAGGGACAACTGGGACTTTAGTCCACTGTCCGACTTGACTTGGCTGACCCTCATCCGGTAAAGATCCGTGTCCAATCGCTCGCTGTTGTGGGTCCACTGGACGGTTATCGGGTTGTCGCCGATCACCGTGCAATCTAGCACGACCGGCTCGCCCCGGCGTATCGTCACGTTCTTGCTCGGGAACTCGAACCTCGCCGGCTCTGCGAACCCAAAGGCATACACATAAAGTATAATTTTCCAAGGAGCTCCCTCTACATTTTTTTTTTTTTTTTTTTTTCGCAAGGAACACACGTGATGCAACATGTCACTACGAAACGAAAAAGTAGAATTTCCACGAAAATTTGTGAAAAATATTTCAGTCCAGCCGAGACCCTTGTCCTCGATCGAGCTCACACGCGGGCAATGCATCTCTCCCTCCCAAAACTCGAGGGCACGTATATATATCGCTGTGATGTACAATGTATACGAAGGCGTGTAACTGTGCACGACGCGCTCGGCCAGGCGTCAAAATCCCTCCCCCATTGGAAATAACAATATATACGACGTACCATTGACCGAGATGTATATGACTTTGCTGAGTGCCGAGCCGATGCTGTTGTTGGCCCGGCAGAGGTAGTGGCCCTCGTGTTGGGGTCTCGCAGCGGCGGTCCACAGGGTGCCGTTGGCGAGGACGGCCAGCCGGTCCTCGGTTAGCTCGCTCAGGGGCTGGTAATCGTCCGAGGTGCGCGCGTGGCCGCGCAACCAGCTTATCTGGGGCGGTGGGAAGCCCGTGGCTTTGCAGTGCACGTGGAGCGACGTGTCCAGGAGGACCGACACGTCTTGGGGCTCGAAGGTCCATTGGGGCGGCACTTTTACCAGGAGCTCGGCCGTTTCGTTGACCTTGGCGGCCTTGTTGGTCGCCACGCAGGTGTACTTGCCCGTGTGGCGCGACGACACCTCTTTGAACACCAGGAAACTGTAAAAGTCGTCGCGCTTCTCGTCTATCTGCAACATTTCGGGGGAAGAGGAGGCTGATGCTGCTTTTTTTCTTCTTTTTAATGATTAAATAACATTTATTGGCCTAACAATTATTTATTAATATATCTCTTATAGATAGATGCATCAGTTCATTAATTCCAAGGATTTTCTTGGCTAATCTTATCGTTGCGAGAACGTGTGTTTAGCTATGGATTAAAAAAAAAAGTAAATAGATAAATAAATAAACAAAAATATTGTATAGCATTTAAAAGATATTTGCTAAGAAATTTTGATTGTATCGATAATTGAATCTGTTGATGGGGTCGTACCTATAAATGATGAGGTACGAAAAACAGGTATTACCTGGAGTGAAGCCTTGAGTGGCTCTCCGTCTTTGAGCCACGAGAAGCTGATAGGGAGATCGCCGCTGGTGATGCTGCAGGTGATCTGAGCCCGACTGCCCTGTTGCAAATTCGGGGGAAACGTGATCGGGCTCATCACGGGTGGACCTGTCAAACAAAATAAACTCGTCGAGAAAAAAAAAAAAAAAAAAAAAAAAATGGTACCTCCTAANCCACCGCGTGTAATGCGAGCCCGGATCTTCGATGCAAATTGTATGCGAGGGAGGGCGATCCGTCGCACGCGCGTGTTTTTGATACCACGAACAATGCATGTAATCAAGTGTTTTTTTTTTTTATTTTTATTTTTTTAAATCAAGCTCATCCTCTAGTATGAAAACATACCTCTTGCCAAAAAAAAAAAAAAAAAAAAAAAAAAAAAAAAAAAAAAAAAAAAAAACGCGCACGACTACTAACTTTGAACCTCGACGTTGATCTCGCGGCTGGCGGTCTGACTGGTAGGCGATTGCACGGTGCAGGTGTAGGTGCCCTGGTCATTGGGACTGACGTCCGTGACGGTTAGGTGGCCCTCGCTGTCGATCTTGTGCCTGAGATCAGGTGGCAGGGCCGAGCCGCCCCTCGACCACTTGACCGAAGTTATGGGGTAGCCCGAGTACGGGCAAGCTATCGTCACTTCTCTGCCGGCTATCGCCCGCACCGGTCCTATTCGCAGACGAATGTACGGCGAGCCTTTGACACAAGAGGGGGGGACGCCTTGTTAGTTGTTATCACGATGATCGGGATCGCTTAATATAACATCCCCCTCAAGGATTCATTTATCCAGTTTTTTTTATTTTTTTTTTTTATTTTCAATAATTTTAATGATTTCACTGTATCCGATACATCAGGAGATTATGGGAATTCGAGCAAACGCCAATTACCACTTGTATACGTATATAAAAGGGAGTTTTACCGTGGATATTGACAGTTAAATGAAAAATAAAAATAAATAAAGATTTTATTCGAAGGTACACAAGTAATTATACAATCACAACGAAGGTGACCGACTCACCCCATATGTTGAGCCTCGCCTTGTGCCCGACCGAAGCCAGGGAGTTGGAGGCTATGCAGGCGTACAGGCCCCCGTCCTCCGTGGTCGCCGACGTTATGTTCAAGTGGCTGATCACATCCCCGGATTGGTCGACGTACTGTCCAATAGCGTAGCTGACGATGAAAAAAAAAAAAAAAAAAGGAAAAAATATTCAATTAGTCTGTCTCGATGTTTTATTCTCGTTGTTCAAGCAGTACCGGTGACTGGAGACTATTTCGTTGAGGGGCTCGCCGTCGAGCAGCCACGTGAACGAAGGCGGTGGTGACCCGGTAGCGGAGCACCTCAAAGACACCGGAGGTCCTGGCCGTAGGGTCTGCTCGATGAAGGTGTACTGCAGCTCGGGCACCGTATCTTCGCACAACCCACCAATCATATCCCTCCGTACCTCTTGCCAAAAAAAAAGAAAAAAAAAAGAAAAGAAAAACTCACCACCAAGCCTTAGTTCGGCAGTGGCTTGGGCGTTCTCCTTGTCGCTCCTTACGAGGCACTGGTACATCCCCCTGTCCCTCCTGCCGACCGCGCTGATCATCAGCACCAACGGCACTGGCATGCGGATCCTCGTGTCCTGCGCCGGGAGCACCGGGAGCCCGTCGTGCAGCCACTCGACGCTCTCGATCGGGAAGCCCTCCACCGTGCAGTTCATCACCGCCGTCTGACCCGAGTTCACCACCTGTGCCCACCCCACGTGTATATTTTTTTTCTCTTTTTTCGCTGCTGGCCTGACGCTCATTTTACTTCAATTCGACCAATAGAATCGAATCGTTGTTTCCCTGTGGCTCCGATACGCGTGTTTATAGCTGATATACCCTCTTTGCTTTCGTTATTTCATACCTCGCCTTGACGATCGGTAAAATGCATTCGCTGACAGGGTGTAGGTATACACACACGCGTTTATTTGGATTGTTCAATCAGTGGAACCCGCAACGCGAGCTATAACGATTCCTGTCGATGATGTATCGAATTGAAAAAACAAAAACATGAATTCTTTGACGAGAGCACCGAGGCATGGCCGAAATTCAATAGCTTTCGGCCCGAATAATCGATGAGAAATATTATATCCAGGTATCATTGAAATGAAAACGAATTCGAAAGAGCTCTGTTGAGTGAAAAGCGCGAAATGTGCAGGTACAGGGTGTACATTTTTGACCAGAGGAACAACTTTTCGGGATTTCAAGGGTACGTGTTGCCGATGTAAAAGCAGAGAAATCGCTGGCTATCCGTATATATATAAGCGTACCTGCAACATCGGCTGGATGCGGGCGTTCAATTTCGAGGTGACGGACAGATGGGTCTCGGCCTGCTGCTTGCCGAAGTGGTTGCGCGCGCTGCACACGTACCTACCGGCGTCCTGGACCTCGACTCGCCTGATGCGCAGCAGGTCGCCCCACAGCTGGATCCGCCCGTAAGACTCGACCGGCACCGAACGACCTTTTTTTCGTTGGTTTGCAACAGTACAACGAAAGTACAAAATAAGGGCTCCTTCGAGAATAAGCGGGGATAAATAACATATACCTACTTAGAAAAGTGGGGGGGGGAAGGGGGTCTTTCCGGCTGGAAGTTGTGTCTCGCTTCCTCTCTTTTTTTTTTTTTTTCCTACCCTCCTTTAGTAGCGGCTGGTTGGGTATTAAATTGTAAGATTGGTCGGAAAAAATAAGGCTACCCGTGCACGGGTGTGGGGTGCGGTGGGTGAATCGATGGGGCTTTTTTTTTTGTGCGCGCTCGCGGGATGCAAGGAGGGGGAGATCGCTTGAAATGCAATCGAGACGTAGCGGAGCGGAAAATGCCCGATAGTACGGGGAGAGGGGACTTGATAATAACGCGGCTCTTCTATCCCTTTCATCCCTTCGGCCCGACGAGAGCCTTTCGACCGCGGGGGGGGGGGGGGGCTCCGTGAGCAATTTTTCAATGCTCGCGTATCACGACAAATTTTCACGTTACCTCAAAGTACGGGGAAATAACTGAGCGACCCAATTCTTTGAATCAAAGAAAATGTCCTTACCTTCATTCCGTTAAATATTTTCTCATGAGTAAAAAAATATAAGTTAATTGAAAATAATATTTTATTAAATTAAAATTTTCTTTTTTCAATTACGAATTTCTCATTTAGTTGTACGAAATTTGTTTTTTTTGTGTACTTATGCGTATACTTATAAAACTTGGGGACTTAATTTTCGTGGGTTCCCGGGGAATCCCTCCTCCTGCATATTCCGCGCTCTGAAAGTGCTTAATCGTGTAGTTCTCGGGAAATGTCTATTAAATTAAGGAAAAAGAAACTCTCTGGTGGTGGTAAAGTTTGAAGGCATGTATATATGTACGACAGTTGGAGAAGAAGAAGGAGGAGGAGGAGGAGGAAAAAAAAAAAGAGTTGCATACTCACCGTTGACGTCGCGATACCAGGTGAACTGAGGCGGCGGGTTTCCCTGGGCCGAGCACGTGAGGTGCACCTCGGAATCCCGTTCCGCGGAAATTGCAATTTGCGAGCGCTGCATCAGCTTCGGTGGCATTGTACTGCTCGGCTCTACGCATACACACATACGCGCGCAGGAAATATAAGAGTCAAGACGCGGATATAATATATACATCACATATACATATACATATATATATATGCACATAGGTGAATAATGCTCTTCCAAAGGCAAGTGAGAAGCCATATACATAGGGTACAGAAAAAGGGATACGATGATCGGGATCGCTTAATATAACATCCCCCTCAAGGATTCATTTATCCAGTTTTTTTTATTTTTTTTTTTTATTTTCAATAATTTTAATGATTTCACTGTATCCGATACATCAGGAGATTATGGGAATTCGAGCAAACGCCAATTACCACTTGTATACGTATATAAAAGGGAGTTTTACCGTGGATATTGACAGTTAAATGAAAAATAAAAATAAATAAAGATTTTATTCGAAGGTACACAAGTAATTATACAATCACAACGAAGGTGACCGACTCACCCCATATGTTGAGCCTCGCCTTGTGCCCGACCGAAGCCAGGGAGTTGGAGGCTATGCAGGCGTACAGGCCCCCGTCCTCCGTGGTCGCCGACGTTATGTTCAAGTGGCTGATCACATCCCCGGATTGGTCGACGTACTGTCCAATAGCGTAGCTGACGATGAAAAAAAAAAAAAAAAAAGGAAAAAATATTCAATTAGTCTGTCTCGATGTTTTATTCTCGTTGTTCAAGCAGTACCGGTGACTGGAGACTATTTCGTTGAGGGGCTCGCCGTCGAGCAGCCACGTGAACGAAGGCGGTGGTGACCCGGTAGCGGAGCACCTCAAAGACACCGGAGGTCCTGGCCGTAGGGTCTGCTCGATGAAGGTGTACTGCAGCTCGGGCACCGTATCTTCGCACAACCCACCAATCATATCCCTCCGTACCTCTTGCCAAAAAAAAAGAAAAAAAAAAGAAAAGAAAAACTCACCACCAAGCCTTAGTTCGGCAGTGGCTTGGGCGTTCTCCTTGTCGCTCCTTACGAGGCACTGGTACATCCCCCTGTCCCTCCTGCCGACCGCGCTGATCATCAGCACCAACGGCACTGGCATGCGGATCCTCGTGTCCTGCGCCGGGAGCACCGGGAGCCCGTCGTGCAGCCACTCGACGCTCTCGATCGGGAAGCCCTCCACCGTGCAGTTCATCACCGCCGTCTGACCCGAGTTCACCACCTGTGCCCACCCCACGTGTATATTTTTTTTCTCTTTTTTCGCTGCTGGCCTGACGCTCATTTTACTTCAATTCGACCAATAGAATCGAATCGTTGTTTCCCTGTGGCTCCGATACGCGTGTTTATAGCTGATATACCCTCTTTGCTTTCGTTATTTCATACCTCGCCTTGACGATCGGTAAAATGCATTCGCTGACAGGGTGTAGGTATACACACACGCGTTTATTTGGATTGTTCAATCAGTGGAACCCGCAACGCGAGCTATAACGATTCCTGTCGATGATGTATCGAATTGAAAAAACAAAAACATGAATTCTTTGACGAGAGCACCGAGGCATGGCCGAAATTCAATAGCTTTCGGCCCGAATAATCGATGAGAAATATTATATCCAGGTATCATTGAAATGAAAACGAATTCGAAAGAGCTCTGTTGAGTGAAAAGCGCGAAATGTGCAGGTACAGGGTGTACATTTTTGACCAGAGGAACAACTTTTCGGGATTTCAAGGGTACGTGTTGCCGATGTAAAAGCAGAGAAATCGCTGGCTATCCGTATATATATAAGCGTACCTGCAACATCGGCTGGATGCGGGCGTTCAATTTCGAGGTGACGGACAGATGGGTCTCGGCCTGCTGCTTGCCGAAGTGGTTGCGCGCGCTGCACACGTACCTACCGGCGTCCTGGACCTCGACTCGCCTGATGCGCAGCAGGTCGCCCCACAGCTGGATCCGCCCGTAAGACTCGACCGGCACCGAACGACCTTTTTTTCGTTGGTTTGCAACAGTACAACGAAAGTACAAAATAAGGGCTCCTTCGAGAATAAGCGGGGATAAATAACATATACCTACTTAGAAAAGTGGGGGGGGGAAGGGGGTCTTTCCGGCTGGAAGTTGTGTCTCGCTTCCTCTCTTTTTTTTTTTTTTTCCTACCCTCCTTTAGTAGCGGCTGGTTGGGTATTAAATTGTAAGATTGGTCGGAAAAAATAAGGCTACCCGTGCACGGGTGTGGGGTGCGGTGGGTGAATCGATGGGGCTTTTTTTTTTGTGCGCGCTCGCGGGATGCAAGGAGGGGGAGATCGCTTGAAATGCAATCGAGACGTAGCGGAGCGGAAAATGCCCGATAGTACGGGGAGAGGGGACTTGATAATAACGCGGCTCTTCTATCCCTTTCATCCCTTCGGCCCGACGAGAGCCTTTCGACCGCGGGGGGGGGGGGGGGGCTCCGTGAGCAATTTTTCAATGCTCGCGTATCACGACAAATTTTCACGTTACCTCAAAGTACGGGGAAATAACTGAGCGACCCAATTCTTTGAATCAAAGAAAATGTCCTTACCTTCATTCCGTTAAATATTTTCTCATGAGTAAAAAAATATAAGTTAATTGAAAATAATATTTTATTAAATTAAAATTTTCTTTTTTCAATTACGAATTTCTCATTTAGTTGTACGAAATTTGTTTTTTTTGTGTACTTATGCGTATACTTATAAAACTTGGGGACTTAATTTTCGTGGGTTCCCGGGGAATCCCTCCTCCTGCATATTCCGCGCTCTGAAAGTGCTTAATCGTGTAGTTCTCGGGAAATGTCTATTAAATTAAGGAAAAAGAAACTCTCTGGTGGTGGTAAAGTTTGAAGGCATGTATATATGTACGACAGTTGGAGAAGAAGAAGGAGGAGGAGGAGGAGGAAAAAAAAAAAGAGTTGCATACTCACCGTTGACGTCGCGATACCAGGTGAACTGAGGCGGCGGGTTTCCCTGGGCCGAGCACGTGAGGTGCACCTCGGAATCCCGTTCCGCGGAAATTGCAATTTGCGAGCGCTGCATCAGCTTCGGTGGCATTGTACTGCTCGGCTCTACGCATACACACATACGCGCGCAGGAAATATAAGAGTCAAGACGCGGATATAATATATACATCACATATACATATACATATATATATATGCACATAGGTGAATAATGCTCTTCCAAAGGCAAGTGAGAAGCCATATACATAGGGTACAGAAAAAGGGATGAGGCTTCTGCGAAAGCTCGGCTGTATATATTATATACACACCCGTTGGATGTGGGTGATATACCCTTACGCGTACTATTGATACTCTGTTTTTCCGTGTATATGCCCACAGAGGGAATCGAGTTTCGCGTGTAGGTGTTTCGTATGTTTCCGGGCGAGTGTGGTATAAAAAATAATACCCCATTTCAAAATTGAAAGGAAACAATGACGAGGGAAAAACAAAAAAACCCTCCCCGTGGCCCGTTTAAACCGCGCGTGGGTGTGACGTTTGATTTAAATTGACTCGCTGAGCTTTTGAATTTTAAATCCACCGCGTGTAATGCGAGCCCGGATCTTCGATGCAAATTGTATGCGAGGGAGGGCGATCCGTCGCACGCGCGTGTTTTTGATACCACGAACAATGCATGTAATCAAGTGTTTTTTTTTTTTATTTTTATTTTTTTAAATCAAGCTCATCCTCTAGATTGAAAACAAAGTTAAATACAAGTGTAAATAATTACTAAGGAAAAAAAAAAACAAAGTACAAAGAAAAACCCCACACCTATCTCATTGAGTTTGAAAATAGTGAAAAGTATACAACTTTTTCAAAATAGTGCACATATGCTGGAAAATAGTGAATATACAACACTATTTAGAGAGAAAAACAGTCGATTTCACTATTTCAAAGTTGTATATTTATGACTCAATTGAACTAGTGAATGCTCACTATTTCTACTAAATTAACGTTTCACTATATTTAAATTACATAGTTGGTTAACTTATTATTGTCACGACTCGAAATAATGTACAATTACCTTCATTCGTATTAAGATTGTTCGTTGGATTATTGATGTACGCATTGAAAATTAAAATTTATAACGATTGGGCGCGAATGAATGATCCTGATTTTTCCAGTGAAAATCTTGTTCACTTATACACTGAAATATTCACCATTTGAAATTTAGAGACGGACATTTTTAGTTTTATTCGTAAACGATTCCTTTGAACGTCCCTCGAAACGAATAAAGGAAAAAGAAAGCGAGAAAAAAAGGGCGCATCCTCGAGGGACGTGCAGTCTCGTGAATCTCGAGTGTCACGGGGCGTCAAGCGGATCAAAGCGAAGGACAGTATAGTTACCTGTTACGGTGAGGGAGGCCGGCTCGCTCTTGCGCGTCTCTCCGGTGAGCGAGTGCCTGGTCAGGCAGGAATACGTCGCACGGCCGTCCTCCTGTCTCGCCTCCTTGATGTGGAGATCGCCCTGGGACGTTACCACGAATCTGCCCCCTGGAACACCACAACGTCTGAAACTTGGTACTCCGCGAGCTTACGCATCCGTATGTTACAGATATTCCTGGGCAGCTTATGTGTTTCGTTTCGCACGTACACAATATAAAATGAGCTATGCTAAGGATACGTATTGCTTTTGAGGGGAACATTGAGAATTACAATAGTTTTTTTTTAGTACGTGAAAATATAGGCACTTTGCCAGTGCCAACCAATATATGGTTAAAAGAAATCAACAACGGGCGTTATCGGTTTCGAACTATTTTTGTAATTTCATCGCGTACAGTCCAGCAAAGGATCACTATACTTCGCGTGTAAGTAAATTCTAAATAAACTTGATGGACGCGCGAAAAAATGATTAAACTCTTGTGATTAGCTGATGAAATGGCACCTATACTGCCAATAAAAAAAAAAAAAAAAACCTTGTAGTTGCTCGTTGCGCCAATAAATTATGCCGAAATCCGAGTAAAAGCTCGTAAAAAAGCTCGCTCGTGGACAACGCGCTGTAGAATAGTGCGCAGGCACGTATGGGTATTTATAATCCAGTGAGCAATGGTTGGCCACAAAGCCTTCAAAAGACCCTGCACTGCTTCTGTACACGGGCTCGGGGGAGAGAGAGTGAGGTGGCTCTCGTCCTTCGAATCTTCAGCGCGTGGATTGCTCATTCCTCGGGGGGGTCCTACACGTTCGCTCATCCGTTTCGAGATATCGCGGCGAAATTACTGAGCACTTGCAAGCGGATTATTGTTTCTTCTCATCCGCTTGAGGCTTTTCGAGAACTCGCGAGTAGTACCTGTACATCTATGTATACCGGCCGAGAGGAGCTTGCAGGGAATTGGCTCTATGGTGCTCCACGAGCATTTTTTTTTTTCAAGGGTAAAGAGGGACGTGTTTGGCATTGGCTTATTCGTGGAAATGCGCTTCTCTCTGCTCGAGTAATTCTGGGGGTCTTGAAGTAATTTTTTTTTTTTTTCATTCCAAGTGCACGCCAACAAAAATGACTTTGGTACATTTTCTTAAATATCAAAATTCCTTAGAAAAAAAAAAAAACATTTATTGATCGCGAAAATCTTGGGTGAAAATAAACGTTTATGCTTACGTGATTTTGTTTTTGGGTTACACAACACTTGTTTTTCCCTACCCGTCTCGTAGCTGGGAAATTACGCTCGAACGTGCGATATGCAAATTAATGAATCCAACAAACTATATACTTACGTCCGTCAGCTCGACGATGCAACTTTTTTTTCCTTTAGCGTAAGCTTCGACGTCATACCAATCGAGCTTCTTCGAATGCATATATAATTATTGCACAGCGCGATTATCTCGTTAATGGAAAAAAAAAAAAAAAAAAAAAAAAAAAAAAAAAAAAAAAAACTTGAATTCGCAATATAAAAGCCGCGAGAACAGACTTTGGACATAAAGTTAGTTGTTAGCCGAAGTTGAAGAATCGACTCGTACACTTAGCATTGATTTCATCATGAGGCTGCTTTGGTTTCTACTTTTCATCGTCGCTGTCATCGCAAGTGAGGGTGAGTTCAAAACTTAAAACTATATTGTTGATTACATGTATAATGTTATAGAAAAAAAAAAAAAAATAAAATAAATAATAATAATTTATCTCTATTTCAGTGTCAGCAAAATGTCACTTTAAGGAGTGCGATCGTGGATGCAGGCGACGAGGAAACACCCTCGGGAGGTGCAAGGGCCCCCGCGTATGTGAATGTATCGTATTCAAAGGATAATAAAAACTCACTTTTAACTTGAAGTAATATATAATTATTGATTGCCTTTAACAGTTATGATTTATTAAGTCGTTTTATGACTATAATATTTTACCTTGATTTTTGTGTACAATTTATTGCCATTGTAATAAAAGTTTTATCCTCTCTTAATCTTCCGGAGTATACTGTACTCTATCATTCAAAAATTGCTAATGAGAATAAAGAGCTTGAATCCAAAGATAAAATTTACAAGTATCGGATGATAATTTTTATTTAAAAAAAGTAGATCACTTCCGATATCGAGAAGTATACTTATGTATACGCAAGTACGTGTACACGAGCGATCAAGATATGAAATTAGACATGATGGAGTCTCCGAGGACTTCCGAGCGGGATCTCTCCTCCATCGCACGTTATCACTCCTTCGTAAATGTACCCTTGATGTACGAAGAGTAAAGATAAAAGACGTCAACAGCAGCGCTTCTTTTTATCACATATATTAATTTTTCTCGAAGCTCTGAGAATTTCCTCTCTTTCCTTAAGTAATTTGTTACAAGTGAACGAAATCTTGAGCGTGTGGGAAACGTTGCTCCGTACATTTTCCGCGAATACCACGTAAGTGACATATTAAAAACCAAGTGAAAGAGGTACCTAAAAAAAAAAAAAAAAAAAGCTCGAATATACATGTGGACGTACGAGGAAATAAAACTTCAAGTACCCGGGTACGCGTCAACGGTATAGAGGAATAAATAGCCAACAGCCGCCAATCGACGTACACGGCACATCCAATCTCCTTCTCCTTCGACTTTTTTAGCCTCAACAAGCCAAGGACGTCGTACAGGATAATGTTTTACCGTGCCATCCCACAGACCCCTCCGAATCCTCGGGTATAAATATCCGTTGTTCCGAAGCACTTTTCGGATCGGAGTTTTAAGAGGACATTACTCTCTCTTTATCCGAGCTAAAGCCAAAGGTGTGCACACACCCCCAAGCTATTCTTTATCGACTGTAAATTTTCCTCCGAGGAATTTTTTTCTTCCCAACACCCGCCCAGTACGTGTGTGCTCCGTACAACGCGCATCAAACCGTATCAAACACTCCCTCCCCCTTCCACTTTGCCAAGTGGTAATTGATTTCGCGGCAGTCGCAACTTTTTCATTTCACTCGGGGGGGGGGGGGACGAAACGCTCGAACATACCGTACTCGCCCTGCAAGCTCAGCCTCTCTCGAACCATTGCAAGCTCTCCCCACCCCCCTACGAAGGCCTCGTGAACCTCTCAGCTGCTGATCTCCGGCAAAGAGTAACAAGCTCCCCTTGCTCGCCACGACACAAACACGGCTCTACTGCCTCTCTGTGGCACACGCGTCGCGTAATAATACAGGAAGCTAATACAGGCGGGTAGGTATACATTAGCCGGCTAGTTAGGAAACAAACGTATCGCGTCGGCCCTCGCGTGCGAGGTACACACGGGCATCCACAAGCAATTCCCGACGCGATACCCGGCTCTATGGGAAACGTTGTATACGCGGCTCTCTCTCTCTCTCTCCCTCGCGCCCCCGATCCCTCTCCGTACTCCGGCACACTGTATGATACATATGTATACACGCAGGGTAAGTACTCGCGCGTACACACACACACATATGTATATACATATATGTACATTGTGCGGACTCTCGCATAAATTTAATCGAGCGAAAGTAGAGAGCAATCAAAGAGCAAAAAGAGTCTCTGCATGTATACGTGAAGGTGGGAAGATGATGACTCTTTGTGATTTTCACTCGATTAAATTTAGAGGGTGTACAGGCATATACACCCAAATAGACATACCCTATATGTGTATACGCACAGAGAGGTGGAAAGAGTACATAATACTCCACGTATAGGGAGACGAGGTATAGAACAGCTGCAGTGGGCATAAATATGTATGGAACATGAATGCTTGAGGCTGCACGTGTATGTGGTGGTCGAATAGCAAACGAGAGATACAGTATGTATACATATGGGTTGGGTAGCTCGCGCATGTACATTACGTGTGTGTTTGCCATATACGAAAGCCAAATAAGCACGTTAACGCGTGTGCGTGTAAGTATATATCAACCATATATTATGCTAGACCTCTTGGGGGATGTGCCCAATTTGTGGGCTCCAATATACACTTACGCAAAGCGTGTGTATGTTGGTAAGCACATAAAGGGTGGGACGGATCTTGTTTACGGCTCGGCTATCATTTTGCAACTTGGCCTTAGGCGCTGCCACGCTGTAACTGCAACGGCGTGTAGTCGTTGTCGTATGCGCAATCGCATATCCCTCTGTTATACGTGTATCATCGACCCGCGTTTGGTGATACTACCGATACGAAGGAAGAGACAGGAGTATCGCGTATGTGCAGAGGAGGGGCTGTTTTGGTTCATCCCTCCGAATGGAGAGGTGCATGCATCGTGTTATGTATGATTCAGTTTTTGTTATCGTAGGTCAAATTGAGGCCGTAAGACGAGCTTTGTGCACGTACGTGCTGTGATTGTGTATCCTTGTAGTGCGCGCGTGTGTGTGTGAAGTACGCGCGAGGGGGTTAATTGGGTTTGAAAGATGCAACGAGTGCCGCGAACCGTGTATGCCCACGCGAAGAGTAAGGGGGGGGGGGGATACGTGTCAACTTGGGATATGGGATTTTCTATTTTTTTTTTTTTTTAACCATTGCTGTTGTATTTTTGTTCGCCGTTCCAATTTCCGCGACGGTATGATGGTTACGGGAAGGGGTGGCGAGTGAATATATTAAGCAGCGCTCCTACGTGGAGTATTGACGCGGTGGAAACGAAATTTTTGCTCGACACATTGTTCTTGGATTGGGGTTGATGGGCTCGTTGTTATTCGTTCCTTTTGTTCGGAAATGACGCAAGGCATCGCTATAACTTTTTTGTGTATATATATATACGTGTTGCCCGGTGGAATTAAAAAAAACATTCCCGTTGGACACGACGTGCCGTGATTATATTGCTCTCTCGTTGGTTCAATACCAAACACTATGGTATTTTTTCAATGCAGCTGCGTAGCTTTTTCCACCACGAAAATTTAATTGACGCGTGGCTTTTTTTTTTTTTTTTAAATCATGGATTCCAAAAAAATGTGTGATATTCACGTGGAGTAAGTGAACAATGCCCATACGCATTGAATAAAAGGCAAAGCATGTTTTTCGTTGAAAATCCGCGGTAATGATACGAAAATCGTATTTCCCGCGTGATCCAGTGACTAATGATTCCACCGCCATCGGACTCTGACGTAAAATTGTACCACCCGAAAATACCAAATTAATTTTTTTTTTTTTTTTTTCATTTGAAATAGCATTATTAGGATATTGGATTATGCACGCGAGTCGCGTAAGAATATTCAATCCACGTACCTGTACATATTATACTATTGTTACACAGCCTCGGGCTACTTGTTTACGTGTACAGGGCACGGAGGTGTATAAATAGACATGCCATCGACAAAAAAGGGGTGGAAGAAAAATCGCGTCGTTTCAGGGTGACAAAAGCCCCGGAGGCACAGGGAGGGGGGTTGGGAGGGGGACACGAGAAAAGTGTTTTGCCGACTGAATTATTGGCCTGTAACGTTGAGAAACGCAAGGAGCGCCAGTACGCCGATACCGTGCGGACGAGGGGCTCGTGAATTTCTTCAATTCCGCTCGTAACGTCGAACCGGTACTCCAGGCATAAATCGCCCTAGTCGTGTCTTAAATTACAAACAGCACAATTTCCATCGTCAAAGTGTTAATTTTGCATCGTCGTATAGGATAGCTTTAGCGCTACGGCAGTATCAGTGGAAAAAAATACCGGAGCACAAGTGCGATAGTAAAAGTACCTATACATGTATACATGAAATGAAAATGTAGGGGGAAAAACACATTGTGCGCTCTCAACCGTGACGGCATCCATCCAATGACGTGAGGCACATTTCACTGTTGTGTACAAGCTCACCTTGTCCGCGTGCGAATTTCCATACGCCCGTATTTGCTTTTTTTCTCCCCCTCCCCACTCGCGATATTAAAACACGGATGGGGACATTTGATGATGCGATGTTGCTGCTGATGCCGTTTCGTGTACATTTATGTTTATATGAATATACAGGGAAAGGAGGAATACGGTTGTCGCGCGAGTCCATCCCCATCTTTGGTGGAGGGAGGCAATTTTACAACCTGCTTTTACTCGGCTCGTGTGTACTCTTGATGGGTCCGAAATGAGAAATTTTTTGTGCTCTTGGCTGTGATTTTTGGGTGCGGGGGCTTTTTTTGAACTCGAACGAAGGTCGGACGGGAAAGACGCGGAGGAGCGGAAAAATTTTAGGGATGCGCTGGGTGTTTTTTTTTTTTTTTTTTTTTTGAAGATATGAAGTTTTTTTTTACAACGGAAAGAGAATGATAAACTTTGTTTGGAAATATTTACTGTTGATTATTTTTGCGGAAAAGCGGTGTCTGACCAAACGCGGGGTTTTCTACTTACTTTTGCTCGACCCGTGATTTCTCTTTCCTAAAGGCTTATATTGATTTTTTTGTTCCCGTATATACCTACAAAAGCCACGGATCGTCTAATCGGGGAAAAGGTTGAAAAAAATATATACTTTTTCCCTTTCAAAACACACAAGTTTCATACTTTTGACATCAAAAGCTTGACTGTCGAACATTTTTTCCTATACTCCCGCTGGATAGGTGGATTAGACCCTCTGCTTGTTTTCTCTTTTCAAATAAATAAATAAAAATTAATCCCCGGTAACGCGAAAATTCACGCTGAACGCGTTATTTTTACGGGGAAAAAAAAGAAAAAAAATCCCCAGATCCACCTGCTCACGGGTTGGAATAAAAAAAGTCATTTGCCCGGTACACACGGCCCGTACAAACAACCATATGGAATCCGGTGCAAACATTTGCACTCGAACTTTCGACCCAACGGTAAAAGTATCAGAGTTAGCAGAGGGGAAAAAAAAACACAAACATTCCAACGCGCCAACATTCGGAAAACCAATCACCCGGTATTTTCTAAAAACACAAAAAAAAAAAAAAAAAAAAAGGGGGAGGGAAACCCGTAAAAGTCGTCCAAAAGCTCCAAAGCAAAAGTCCATCCACGGACAGCAGGCGCTATACGGACGAGACAACTTTCTTCCGATCTGGCACTCGATGGAATTACCTCCTACACGTGGGTACATATACACATTTACCAACAGAGTTGGTATCCGGAGGAGCTTCCGTCCCGCCCGGCGTACAAAGCTTTCCCCCTTCTTTTGTCTGTGCCGGATAGAGACTTGCGGCAGCAGCTGCGTCGCCGTACGGCTCAGATACACACGCTCGGGCTACGTGTGTATACACACTTACTTCACGATCCGGAAAGGGGAATTGGATTCGATTACGAGTTGCGTCTTGCATACCGATAAGCCAGCCCCCCTCCCTCCCGTTGCTCTTTCGTACAGGGCCGTGCGGAAAATTTTAATAAAATAAAAAAGACGGTCCTGCGGTGTATCCATCCGAGGGGTAATTTATGTGGGCATCGATTACAAGAGTTTTTCCAATCGGCAGGACACGACAAGGAAAACACGTTCGTACCGCGTGTGTATGAAAAAAGTTTCGAGGGTCTACACGCCTCTTACTGTTCGAGTGATGTACCGCCGGAAGTTTTTCTTCCCGGGGATAAGCGCGATTTTCTATACGTGTTGGTTGCTTGTGTTTTTTTTTTTTTTTTTTTTTTTCAAGCAAAAGTAAAAAAAGCACAGATGCTGCACCTTCCCGATGTCTCGTCACGATAGCGATGCGTCGATGTGCGTATGGCAAAAAGTTTTTCAATACCAAACGCACGTAAATTACCGCGCAGGACGAGGACATCATTTATACTCTTCGAAATGATTTTTCGCAAAACGAACTCAAATCTCACGTGACGTTTATCGCCTAGGCTCACATATATCCGTAAAAAAAAAAAAAAAAAACCCATACGCGGCGATCGAAGGGAGGAAAAACTCGTTGACCCCCCCGTGGATTATAACCTTTTCTCCCCCCCCCCCCCCCGCACACCCACTTGCAGCTATATATACCTCTGTCGGTGCTGCCGGGCAGGAGGATCGATTCGTCCCTGTACCAGGACGTGACGGTTAGGTGCTCCTTGATGTCCTCCCGCGCCGTGCAGGAGAGCAGAGCGTTGTTACCCTCGACCACTGGCGAGCGCTGGACTCGGACCTCGTAGCCCGGCACCGTCAGCACTGAAACAACAAAATAACACATCCTGAATAACCAAGTTGTTGTGTTTTTTATTTTCTTCGGTTGGAAGGAAACGGGGATGAGGAATCAAATTATCGAGCGAAGGGAGAACAAAAAAAAAAAAAATAAAAAAAACAGCGCTCGGAAATCACCTTTCTGGAATAATCTTTTTCTTCGCTCTCTGGTATTTCTGTATACATGACATGGGTGTACCGACGAGCGACGACGGCGGGGAGTTTTTCTTGCCGCTGCGAAATGAAAATAATGCTAATGTAACGCTCGAGATCCTTGAATTTAATAAAACGTGAGATTTTCATCCTTGGCCCCTTGGAGAGAGAAAGAGAGAGAGTAGGGATGCGCCCACGGTATACGTATACACTGGGCGGGGAAAATGGATTTCCACGTCGCGCCAAGAGAGCGCGAAAATTGGGAGTTTCGCAGTGCGAGATGGAGATAGTCGCGTTTTTTTGCAGGTGTAAGGTGGTGGAGGGTGGGTTGGCCTATACCCCGCGATAAAATTGAGACGGCGGTCGCGTGGGATGAAACGAGATGTGCAAATGAAGTCAATACGCGGCTCCTTCGTTCCCCTACATCTGCTCAGCCGGGCGGGCAACGATATTTTTCGACTCGCTTTCCTCGAGTTTCTCTTTCGGTTGGCTTCGGGGTGAGCTCGCCAGTGGGGCAAATTTTCCAGGAATCACTCGAAATTAACTTTTTCCCGCTTACTTGAAAAGTGCAACCGTCGCTCTTTGATGAAACGGTTTTTTTGCGAAGGGAGAAGGGCTGTGGCCTTTTTCGACAAACTTGATACATCGAGGTGGGAGTGCTCGTTGACGCGAAATAGCTGCGCGAATTTTATTTATAAATTAATGATAACATTCATTTTTTTTTAAATGTAAAGCACAATTTTTTTCTTTCTTTTTTTTTTTCATTAGAAAAAAAGCTTGGATTACAGTAGTAGAACAAACATTTTTTGATCTAAACTGTAGTTTAGTATAAGAAAAAGAAATTTCACAATACATTGGCAAGGTATTTGAAAAAGGTGCTTTCTAACTGACAATGTTAATTGTACTTAATCACTTTTTTCTAATTAATGATACAATGAGGTAGTCAAGGAATGGATGCTAGGGCTACGTTAAAATAAACGTATCAAAGATTTGTGTGGTAAAATAAAATAAAATAAATAGTTGAAAAAGTCACCAGAATTTTTTTCTCCCATCGAGGTTGCGAGATTATTTTTTTCCACAAATCAAAACAATTACAAAGCCAGAGAAGCTCGCAGCCCCTCCAGATAAAAATCTTCCTCCCCAGATATCGTCACCAGCGGCACTCGCGAAAGCCCAGTTTGTTGTCGTCGCGAGTTAAATTAACCCGAAAATTGCAATACAGATAAACCGGGGGCAGGAAGGAAATGTAAAAAACGCTTTTAAATTAACGCCCCTTGCACCCCTCGAACCAAGCTTTTTTCCCCCCTCTCGAGCTCGTTATATACCCTCGACCTCCGAAACAATCTGTCCGCTGGAAAAATTTTTTTTTTCTTCTCTGCCACTATACCGCGTCGCGAGAACCAATCTCGTATCCAACACGCAATGAGATTTTCCCTCTTCGGCTCTCGCTCGTCTATGGAAAACGCGAGCAATCATAAATTCATATGTGTGCAGATTGTGCCTGTTTGTTTTCTTCCTGTTCCTGATTTCGTTATTTTTTATTTTATTTTTTTTTTTTCTATCTTCAAAACATTGTTGTTATCCATCAGCGAGTGATCAAAAACGTTACGCCACAGTTTTTTGTACAAAATCTAGTTGTAACACGAAGGTAAATGCAAATAGAACGAACAAAACTAAATTTCGCGTGAAAATAAAAAAAAAAAATGTCATTTATTCATAAATCCCCATAGAGAACGAACGGGGGGGGGGAGGGGTTACAATTACTCGTGTCTATACGTGCGACAGGCAAACCTCGCGTCTAATTCGCGAATTTGTGTACAGGAGAGCCGTTTCAACGGCAATGTATACACACGCGTTTATGATACGAGAGCCGTGTGTAACTCGCGTGTCGTCGAAAAGCCCTGCCTAGTCCTGCAGTGAAATATTTTAGGTAATACGGACGACACGGGGTGGAAAATGAGATGGGACGCGGGACGAGATGTGTGCATGCGACGTTATTTCGTTACGTGACGTGTCCTCCACTGGACGGTTATGCAAACAGTCGCCGCTTGTAACTCGATAGTCATGCCTGGGTGACAATGACCATCAACCGGACCGATTACCAGGGACGCCCCGATTTAATTTTCGCCATCGAGAAAAACCTTTTTTTTTTTTTCTTTTAAATTCCATTATCACGAATTGCGGGAATTGAGGACTGATGTAATAATCCAGCGGGACTCACCGCGTTTTGAATTAAATTCCCGTTCCCCGACTCTTTGCTCCCAAAACCTCAAGTACCTATACGTATACATTATCTCAGCGTGTATATAAATTCACACGCGGAGCCGCAAAACTCGAGATTTGTAAAAGCACCCACCGTTGAAATCCTTCAATGATTTATAACTTTGGTAAGTATAGTCGCACACCGTATCCGTGCGTGCACACCTATACACTCGACGCAATCAAACTCACTTATTTTCTTTGTCCACGTATACGCACAGAAGGACGGGCTCATCCACCATCCGTGGGAAACGGCGCGTTGTACAATATAACACAGCCAAAGCTCGTCAGCGAGTGTCATATAACCGAGCGTGCACCGATGGATACGTATACGTTGCAGCCCAAGCTCGAGCGGTCAGCGATCTTTCGCGCGGACACTGTCGCCGTCTCGACGATACATTACACTCACGCGCCGGGAAGTATGGTAATAAACTACGACAAGTCGACGAGCGTATAAATATATGCGTGTACACGGGAATCGATATTAATTGCATTGTGCGTGGACGCGGTACATGTACGTAAGCACTGAAAGTTGAGTGCGAGGGTGTTCGATCACGAATACCCTGAAAATTGATTTTGAGCGCGCGAGAGCTGTGCCACTGTTTGTGAACGCTGTATGGATTTTTTTTTTTTTTTTTATTATTTTCATATGTACCAATGGAATGTGCAACAACGACCACGAGTATACGCGCATTATTTGTTTTGACGCGGGTGGAAGAGATTTTTCTTCCAATTTCATGACTATCGACTGTTGGGCTCAGAAGGATAAAAGTTGGGAATTTTCATAAGGAGAAATAATGGTTGCGCTCCTGTAACATATTCCTATCCGACGTGATTTTTTCAAATACTCCACAACTAAGTATTCCTACATGTTTCGTCCTGAAGAGTAATCCTTTTCAGGGTTGCTCATAATTTTTTCATAGCGATCGCAAATAACCCGAATTGCATAGCTAAAATGTTTTTATGTTACTGTTATTTAACGTGGTACTTTTATTTATTTATTTGTTGTTTGTTTTGGAAACAATGCTACATTTTTATTTTATATGAATACCAAGAATGCTCAAGTCGAGTATTTTTTTTTTCCTTGTTTGTGAAGTATAATCAACTATCAAAAGTTCGACATCAAAATGCTACAATAAGCATTTTGAACTTTATTTGCCAATACTCAACGTCATATTCGTGTTTTTGTTGTACTTGTCGTTAACTAGCTGATCCACGAATTGGTACCACATACGTTACACACCATTCGAGATAGGATATACTTGTTATGATATCGTCGATATTCATAATAAAAAGTAAATGCTCTTCAAAGCATTCCCACAGTACGAGTCAACAAGTAAATCTTTTTTTTTAAAACAAATTAACGCGCCATACACCCATTCGTTCCAATGAATCGAGGAATGGGTATGTATCGCTGCACGTAAACACACACAATTATCACGATGTATGGGCTCGCGTAAAATTATTATTTTCACGAGGCAAACAAACAAACGCTCTCACTGCTATGCCAACAATAATTAATAAGCTTTAAAATCACGCCCAAATAAATCGAGTAACAAACAATCCTCGGTTCCTGCCGCGTTCCACGATAACTCGCAATGTCCTTCCGCGCTCGTGCGCCACAATTACACCGTGTGATAATAATGATAATGATGGCTTCGGTCGTGCGTATGTATACTCATGAAAAAAAAAAAAATTACGCGAATGACAAGCGATGTCGTATACACCTCCTCCAAACAGCCGAAAACCGTAAACGTGCGTATTTTATATCCTTGTGCATCGAGCACCCTTGCCCCGTACCGTGTACACACCGATCGAGCCATAAGCAAACAAACGTCGCAGATACGTTATCTCCATCTTGAGCGCAAGGCAAGGGTTGGATTTTGTTTTTTCTTTTTTTTTTTCGCCAACGTCCCGAGATATCGCCTCTGGCTCGTCAAGAGGATCGCTCGTCTCCGAAGGATCGTCGGTGAGGCGAGGGGGAAAATGAATATTCCGGTGTAAACAATGAAGAAGAAAAAAAAAAAAAAACGAGGAGGAGAGGTGTACACGCGCCGAGGAGAGTATATACACAGCCGGTGTGGTTCGGGTCGAGTGCAGGCGGTATATAGAAGAATCGACGGCAAAGATAGCGGCGCGAGAGCAAGGGAGGGAAAATAAAGGGGCTTTTTTTTTTCTCTCTGTTCCCGCGTCCCATCGAAATCAAGTCCTTTGGTCTGGTGCACCGTACAACACAGCGGACTCGAGTGCCGATGTCATTTCAGATAAGTTTCTCTCCCACCGCCTTTCAGAGCCTCTCCTTTGGTCGCGCTGCTGTTGCCATACGCGCGCGGGTGCAGTGTACACGAGGGGGGGGGGGGGGGAGCTCGAGACGGGTCGAGAGGGCTCGCTCGGCTAACTAGGCCCTAGCTGCTGACGGATGGCTCTCCCTTTTCCGGCTGCAACCAAGGGGTCGGAGGGTTTGTATCAAAAGAGCCGAGGAGAGGGCAAATACGAGAGAGGCGATGCGCGGCCGATAAGGAGGCGCGAATACGCTAAATGCTCGCTCTTTCCGTCTGTTTATCTTTTTAGAGGCGCTCGCGCGACACGCCCTCCGTCTTTTCCCGCCCTACTTGTGTGCGCATCCTCGGCACGAGGCTGCTTTTTCATGCAATCACCGGCAATCAGAGTCTCGCGCAGTTTCGCGAGGTGTGCTCTCCTGATGCTCTTTTCGACGAGAGTTTCGCGAGGCTTCGAGTGCGGGGGGAGATTTTGCCCTTTGGTTCGCGGGTCGGGGAGGGCGAGGGATCAAAGGGCCGAAAGCTCGGAGTGAGTGTTTCATTCGCAAGTGGTTGCGAGCTTTTGGGAATAGTGGTGAAACTTTGGGACTTTAATGATTACGATTGTTGTTGCCAAGCGTGTGGTAGGGGTGCAGAGTTTCTCGATAGCCGAGAGTTTTCGTTCAGGACTTTGATGGAAGTTGTAAAATTTGGGGGAAGGACGGTTCGAAGGAGTAGGCTTTGGACTGTCATTCTATGCTTACTTTTTTTTGGTAAAACGCAAAAAACAAGTGATAGGCCAAATTTTGCTTACAATTTACGAGTGTATGTGATTAGCATGGAGAACTTTTAAAACGTTTAAATTGTCAATATTTGGTAGTTGGAACGTCAATTGAAATTGCATAAAAGTTAACTGACGATAAATTAACATTTTCTTCCCACCAACTTCAATCCTATTTGTCAATTAATTAATTACTTTAAAATTAATCTTATTTCTTGTAGAAATGAAAAGCTGTTGATAATCATTATTTTAAACGAAAGAAAATAAGGGATCCGTTCATATGCTAAGCGTGGGATCGCGTCTCAAAGGCATTAAAAGCACCTCACCAAAGGCTCCGTTTCGTTTTCAACTTCCCCCCCCCTCTTTTTTTTCTTTCAATTCTTGCAATTCATTCAGACCCAAGGAATAAAAAACCTCCTCGTTATAAAAATGTAAAAAAAAAGGTCAAAGCAACAGTACTGCAAAATAAGCTCAATCACGTTCCCGATGAAAACCCAACAATCCCCATCTACGTATACGTTTCGAACTGCCATACACCCACATATGACATCAGTCACAAGAACGACCATCCCTCTCCATGCATTTGTCGAGGTCACATATGAATTCAATCCCAGTATATTCACGAGAGCCTTTAAAATGTATCACCATACATCAGCACGCACGAGCTGTTGAAAGCAGCATATGGGAGAGCGGGAGATATGGTGGTAAGGGGGGGGGGGGATATGAGGCTCGTTCAAATAATTAAGCGCGTAATTACCACGCAGTCGTCATCGCGCGTTTTAATGAAGAGCTCCACCGCGACGCCAAATGGCAAAAGATAAACCAGGTGGGGACGCAGCAGACGCTCGCGTGTGCGTTTACAAAAAATGAAAAAAAAAAAAAAAAAGAGACGCGTGGGAGGGGTATCAAGGCGCAGCGCAGAGAAATAAGGAGCCAAGGGGTCGTCGCTCCTTTTGGCTCGTTTTTTCCACGCGCACCCACAGCCGGAGTCACCCTCGCGCGTATCGCGAGCCGTGAAGAAGTTTACTCGCGACAGAGGGGCCGAATCGAGAAAGGGATGGGGTCCCCGTTCCTGATTAGTCGACCATTAGCGAAGAAAAATTTCCAGCTCGCCTATGTACATAGGGTGGAAAAGCAGGTCCTTACAGGGACCGGCTTATACAAGCTTCGATCCCCTTTGCCGTGGATGCGGTATTAATTTACACGGGTTGACCGATGCGAAACTCGTGACTCGAGGAATTCGATTGCGAGTTTAGCCGCGTCCTCAAGCTCGTCGATCGAGTTTCCGCGTGTGCATGTGTGCTAGTTGTCGCGTGTAGGGGAGGATGGGGAGAGAACACTCATAATTGGACTTACGCGTGGCGGGGTATTGGAATTCCGCGCTGCCGCGATTTCCCCCCCTCCCTACGGAACGTGCAGCTAGCGCAAAGTTTTCCCTCGTCCCTGGATGCCCCTGCGAGTTTCTTCATTTTTTGCACGCGATTGTTTTCAAAGTTTTCTTTCCTTCCCTCCCTCCTTGTTTTTTACCTTGTATCTGCTCGTGGCGCACGTACCTTCGAATCAATTGCAGACTTCTGTTCACCCCGACGCGTAAAATCACCCCTCCCAGTCCCAATGGTAAGAGCCGTGAAAAATTGTTTTTGCCTGAAGAAAAACAAAAAAACAAAATACAAGCCCAAGCGAGTTATTAAATTTTTAGAGAAAAATCTCATCGCGTAGCAAAAACGCGAGGGCTCGCTTCCATTTCGCGGTGTGTGCGTATACACCATCGCCTTATCCCGCGCGCTAATGAAATCGTTGCCCCACCCCCCCCCCTTACTTTTGCGCCCTTAATGAAAAAATGACGAGTCGGAGACCGACGAGACTCTCCTAAAGTTAAATATCCCGAGGATTCACCCAAGGGTTGGAAATAGACGCGCCGTGGGGAGGGAGGGAGAGATAAGTGCTTTCCCCCTTCCCAGTCTCCTTCTACGGAGGCCTACGCTCATGAGATTGCGGATGATATTAGTTTGCCGGTGCGTGTCGGAGGACCCATACATGTATATACATATATACCCCTCTCTCACTTATTGCGGGTGTAGGTATTTTACACGAAAACGAGGAGAAGGAGGGGGATGAAGGAAAAAAGAGTAGTCAAGAGAAACGAAAAAGGTGGGGGTGGAGGGCGAGGGTAAGGGGCCTAAGTAGGTGGTGCGCTCGCCGATCACGCTCCGGGGAAAAACAAGGAGCGAAAATTCGCAGCAGCTATGCCAAGGGTCTGTACGTCTATATATACATTTATATACCGTGTGTCTTTCTCTCTCTCTCGTTTCGGGGCGGAGGAGTAAGGTCCCACGGCTGCTTCGCTTGCGCGATTACCTTCTCCCCCGGGATCATCCGGAGCACTGCGATTGGCACGAAAATCGAAGGATTTACAGCGCGCCCGAGTTACTTCCCGCTCCCCTTTCACTACCTTACACACACACACAATCTTCGTCTCTTTCTCTCCAAACCACCATCCTCTTCTGGTATATATGTATACACATGTACTAGTGGAGTGCACGTGGTGCCGTATGCTCGGGTATATACTCGATGCGCCGGCTCTCGTCGATTTTCGATGGCGCCACTACCCCCGGCTTTGCTCTTCTTCTTTCCCCCCCCCCTTCTTAGTCTTTGAGCAACTATGCTCTTTGTGTCTATGGTCCGAGGCTCGCGTGCCCAAAGTTGCATGTGCATGGCTGTGAAATAATGCTCGGGAGTCGCTAGATATTCTCAAAGCGGAATCTCTCAAATTTATCGAGAGGATTTCTATGTACCCATTAAAAGTTCATTTTTACGTGACAGATCCCTCCTGCGCACAAATCGCTAATAAAACATTAATATATTCGGGCTTGTTGTCGTCGTACATTATTTAAACAGATCAGGAGAAGCAGGTAGTCGTGGTTGTTGGGCGTTGGATGCAGGTGAGTCTTTGGAGTGGACTCGGGAGAGCCATACTTACATACCATCGAGCGAACGCAATCCACTCAAGCACGAGTTTTCAGGCCACTTGATATATTATACAGTTGTACGTATGTTACGTTTCCTCTTTTCGTCCATATATCACCACTGCTAATTATCGAAAGGGCCTCTCGTACGTATTTTTTACCAAGAGTATCAAAAAAAAAAAAGAGGATGGATTAATTAATCGAAAGTACCTACGTGTAGGGAAAAATCGATTCCTTTTTTCTTTTCAATTGGAAAAAAAAAATTGGATGTGTAAAAAAGATACATGGATGGAACAGGACAGGGTGCAAAAAGCCGGTTTGGAGGCTCTTTCGGAGCCATTCGCGCGATGAGGGGAAAAAAAAGAGTTCCCTTTAAAATCGACGACTACGACGACGACATGCTCTTTCGCTCTGGCTGTCGCTTCGGAGCACGCTTCGCGTGAAAATATCGCTCGGGCGTAGCGCGAAAAATGGGAGGAGGGAAAAAAAGCTCGGTTTTTCTTTTCAATAAAAGCCCGTTTGGAGGGGGGGGGGGAAAGGGGCAGAACAAATTGACATTGATTACCTGCTCGAAGGGTGACCTCTCGCGAGAGCACCGTGCCGACCGAGTTGGCCGCCCGGCATCTGTAGCGGGCGTTGTGCATCTCCGCCCGAAAGTCCTGGGCGCGGAACGGCGGAAAGTACAACGTGCCATTGCCCAGCAGTTGCCTGCAACACAACAAAAACAAAAAAAAACCAAATAACAATAATGAGAACAACCATCCGCTGTACCTCCGTTTGGGGTGCTTTCAAATTTCACTTATGTACTTTTTCACCCGTCAACTCTTGGACATATAGCTTTAAGTGCATATGCGCCGTTGCGAAACAATTTGCTTGTCTCTCTGCTACCTGCAGCATAATACCTTAAATTTTACCGGTGCTGGAGCTACTTTACTCCACCCTGTGCTTCGTATTTATTTACTTTTTTTTTTTTTCAATCCAAAAGGGGATGATTTCGTTGAAGGTCTTGGAGAAAGCGTCGAGTCGATGCCTCTGCGAATTATCTTTTTCTTTTTTCCCCCGACCGCACGCTCAGACCCGTCGTCAGCGCGCTCATCCACCCCGACAACTTCTTAAGCGGCAAAAGGGAAGAAGGACACAGCTAAGACTCTGGCTTAGGTCTTCTTAAAAGATTATCTCTCGCGCTCGGGGTAGGTGTGATAAATCGAGCCGAGGTAAGTTTACGGTTCTTTAGCGCATACACGCTGACAATACCGTGTATCGGCAGGTGCGAGCAACAAATTATTGTCTACAACTACGCAGTTGCGGAGATGTCGAAGATCCAATGCGGATACCGTGTATTTTTCTCCCCTTCTTTCCCCCCCCCTCCCTAGGAGAAAAGGGACAGGAAAATAAAAGGATCGCGTCGACAGTCGGAGAAATGTGAGAAATTCGTGTCTCCTCGTCCGTGTTCGCAGGGAGGGATGGAGGAAGCGCCAATGTCATCCCTGGAATTCACGGCGCGTGACTACTAGCTCGATCCCTCGCTAAGTAGACTATCTCGTCCTTCCCCGCGCCAGTCCTCGGCCAACATCGGTACACCACACGGTGTATACATGTACAATAAAAAATCATTCGCTGGAGTGATCAGCCGAGCGTTAAAAAAGCTCCTCGGCCTCGACGCGATTACAACGTAACGAGCCGTGCGATATACCTCGCGAAGCCGTCGATGTCTCGTGAGTTTTTTTTTTTTTTTTCTCATTTCCCGTCATAAGATGCGCGTATATATAGGGCTGAAAAGAAAACAGATAACTTAAATGAAAAGTAAGCGCTAATTGTACAGCCGAGGGTCGAGAATATATAAGTATCAAAAACACCACAACTGCATTACGCGAATCAGTTGTGACTAGTATCGAGCGGCTGGCCGATTAGTTGAAATTACCCCGTTGTCTGCACAAACGGGCGGAAACTAGAGTATACACATAATACAGAGCCAGCACGTATACTTATGCCGGGGGGGGATAAAAATTGAAACAGACGCGCGGGAGACCTTAACTCGACCGCCGACAGACGTCGTCGTCTTTGCCTCCTGTATATACGTATCCAAAAGGATACGCGCGCGTGTGTGTACGGAAGCGCTTTAGGCGAGCCAACGAAGATTAATGGCCGGTTTCCTCGACACCCCCCTCCCAAGCGTGTGTGGGCGAGAAGGGGCATCCATCGATCTTTGCCGCGAGTTCACGCGCTAGCGCCCACCAGCCCGAGAAATGTCCGGGAGGAAAGAGTTACCGTGGCTTTGTATTTCGCGGCTCTCTCGTGCTCTCTTGTTACATCGTCGTCATCTTTATCGATGGGGCGCCTAACGCGGATGGATCCATCTCTCTATCGTCATCTGTCGGGGGATGTTGGGAAATTTTTTCTTCGGGCCCAACTTGGCGGTGCAAATGGAGGTATCCGGAAGTCGCGCGCGCGTGTGTGTAAGATGAGTCGGGAGAAAATGAAGAAGCTCGGGTTGTTGGAGCGGCACTTTGCTACTCAGTGTTATACCTCTTTATTATGCGCCATTGAGTTGCCGCGCTTGGGGAAATCGCGAGGATGCACCAAAAGTGGGGGTTTTCCCATCTTTTTCTTCCCGTTCGAGTCTTTTGTGCTCGACCGTGGTGACATTTTTCCTGATTTTTCGATGCGAAGAAAAGATAATACTTGCCGTCCGACCATACATTTACTTGTACTACTGGCCACCTGTACACAACCAGTTCTTCCTGTACTCGCCACGGAAAATAATTTTAAAAATAAAAGAAGTACGCGTCGTCTGACCGTACGTTTACTCATACTACTGACTGAGTGAGGAAAACGGAGAACTCCCGTGGTCCGACCATACATTTACTTGTACTACTGACTGCTATACCTGCGCACGCAGTTTGTGACTCTGTTAAAATTCTTCCCCCAGCCACCACATAAAGAGACCCAGAGGTCGTCACTCAAAAAAAAAGGGAAAACAAGGATCATTTGCACGTGGTACGCGTACCGCCTGTCAATTAACAAAAGCACCGCCACGTGTGGCGCTTCCGAAATAACAATGCCATAGCGCTCGATAAAGAGAAAAGAAGACTTTCCGATAATGGGACGGCAAGCCAGTCCCGCGGGACACACCCCCAAGGACTCTTAGAAAAATAGTCCTGGCACACCTACTGTACGATATGATAGAGTCGCGCGCTGGGAGATGATGGAAATCGTAAATTGAAGCGTTGGAAAAGAGAATCTTTTTACCTTATTTCGTGGAAAACTCCTTTCTCTGGCGTCGAAATCTCAATTGACCATTCCCCCGCTCTCTCCCACAGCCCGCGATTGTTCCTTTGTCCTTTGTGCTTTTTCCCGCGTAACCGTGTGCGCGTGTACTCCCATCTCTTTTAGCGACTTTGTGCCCACTTTCATGAGTTTCCCACCGCGGACGGACCGTAACGGCGAAATGGAAAAGTTTCACACCCGGCTTGTATCGGAAAACCAATTTTACGATGCAGAGAGGGAGAGTGGGCTTTGTGTAACTGCACGGCCGGAGCTTAGGATCGCGCGGATTGCCCCGACCACTGCAACTTTGGGAAAGGGAATTTTCTTCCCTAATTTTTTCCGTTCCACTTTCGGGGTTACTATCATTTTTTTTTTTTTTTTTTTTTTTTTTTCGAGATAGTAGGTACAGTAATTCGTATTGTTGCGCCGTAAATAATTGGATAAACAAACGAATAGATGCATCACGAAATATTTGACGGTCGCTCAATATCAATCAACTTGACTATAATTTCAATTGATGGACACCCAAAGTCCTACGTGCCGTCAGTTACTCCCAAGTTGACGCGTCCCTCATATAAACGCCGGTATAATCCCCGAGGATCCCCCGGTGGCAGATAAGAAAGCCGGCGGTGAAAACGGGAGTGGGAGAATCAACAGATTAACCTTCCGGGGGTATACACGTGTATATACACAAAGGGAATTCCCGAGCCCTGCCGTTTACAGCCCATCATGCAAAGCGATGAGCCTCGAACGATCATTTCGATTAGGACAAAACAGCTACTCCCGCTCAACGTGGTATATACCCCCTCCCACGGAGGAAGGAAAGGGAAAGTAATAAGGCGGGCTGTGCGCAATAATAGTCTCGGCGCTCCCGAGGCAGATTAAAGCGTTTATATATACGCCTTTGGAAACCACCACCGTCGGGAGTTGGGAAACTTTGCCCCTCGCCGATTTACATGCTCATAGCCCCTTTATATATTCCTCGCAAAACCCCCAACTTTTATTTGGCTTATTACGTCGCGTCGAGAAAAAACAGTTTTTTTTTTTTCTCCATAAAGTTTTCCAAGGCGGAAGTAAGCGACACTCGCGATCGAATAAACATACAAAGCTTCGACAGAGGAATCGTACACGTCGGCAAAACCTCGCGTCCGGCGATACACGAGCTCTTAAGATCGAAAACGAGCTGTGCCTCTCCTTTTTCGGCTGAATCAGAAATTTCATTTCGCGGAAAGGGACCAGCCGGAATCTCCTCGAAAGTGGAAGTACAGTGCAAAGGGAATCTGATAAACGACGGTCGGTCGAGAGTTGCAGCAGCGAGATATCACTGACTTGGCTCTTCGCGGAGGGGGCACTCGGGAGGGAGAAACAGAGAACAGAGTCAAGAGTCGGAAGTTCGATGGCACGCCGTCGCCACTGCACCTGCGGGAGGGAGGCCATTTCCTCCGCTTAATCGAAACGTAGGGGGGGGGGGTTTCAGGAAAAGCCGGGCTTCTTGACCTCTCGGACGGAATTTTCCGCGGCGCGGGAAAGTGCTCGTGAATTCGAAATTGGAAAAACCCTACCGGGCTGCCCCGGACCGCCGCGAGATTGCCTTTCAGGGTGGCTCTTCCTCCGTTAAATCTTCGGGCGACCTTCATCTATTTTAAATCGAGTGAGTCGTGGGAAATAGAGGAAGCTAGTCACCGTTGACTGCAGGAAAAGTTGAAAAGTTCTCCGAGTTGACGAAGCGGGGGAAAGGGGACGTATGCGCGCGGGAAGAAAGATCGCCTTGGATGACGACTGCTACGGTATTTTCGGAAAGTTACCGCTCATTTACAATGGAGATTTCGCGTGATCGCTCGAGTCTTGGTTCTAAATTAGAAGAAAGTACGTTTCTTTTTTTTTTTTTCTTTTTTGTTTTTTTTCTTTGGCCAATGATGCGGAGTCAATTGGGTCGCACTAATTGCACCTCGAAACTATTGAAATATCGATCGAATCAAAAGTAGATATCACAGTACTGCTGCTAATTAACGCGCGGTTCATTATAACACGTGCTGAAGGCCACCAAGTGAGACTGAAACGATTCCTTTTGCTCAAATGGTTGTTGCAAGCGATTGTTAAACTGTTTTAACTGAAGGTTTTTTTCAGAAAAGTATATTTCGTTACGAGTCATGTCCACTTGCGTTGTGACATATCATCCCTTGTACTCGATACCCTACTATTTTACGCTACTATTGCTACCAAGTCTAATATACTTGTTTGTATCATTGTCTATCTTTATCATCGAGTCGACTGGATTGTCAAAGGCTGCATCTTATGAAATTGACATATATGTATTTTTACTCATCTCGGAGATCCAGACGTGGCTCACCACGAGGCTCGAATAAAGTAAATAAATGTATGTCCCACCTGAGTCCCGGCACGGCGCTGACCGATCTCTGATCGGGACTCGTGATCCAGGTGACGTGGGGCGTCGGGCTGCCGTGGGCCGAGCAGCTCAGCTGCGAGCCCGTCGTGTTCGAGAAGACGAGCGTGCTCGGCGGCTCCAGCACGAACTCGGGGCCCTGCTGTCCCAGCGTCGCCGCCGGCTTCCATCCTGAAACACGCCATTTCCAATTAGTCTTCCATTCAGGAGCATTAAGCGTAAAAAAAAAAAAAAAAAAAATAGATTTGGGCGGAAAAAAGAGGAAAATAAAAAAGTCCGTCCCTCGAGAAACTCAAGGGGAGGAGCGGATGAAAACGCTGACTCGCTCAAAACGGTGGGGGGCTGCGGGCCGAAGCTCGAGAAAAATCGTAGCAGTCGAGCAATGAATGGCCCTACGGAGAAACTCGCACGTGAGGTGAAAGCCCAAGGCTGGGGCCATTTTTTTTTTTTTCTGTTTCCCTTCGTCTATTCCCGAACAATACGTGATGTACCAGGGGGGGTTGGCCGGGTCGTCAAAAATTACTCCAGTGTTGGCATTTTTTACGCGCTATCCACCGGCGCGACACACACGCGCACCTATAGCTGTATAGTTTTACACCGATCGATGCCGGATGTATATATATACATATAGGTGCTCGGGCGATGGTATTAGCAGCACCGATGGTGCCAGTCGAAATAATTCATCTCATGAATTATGTAGCCCCCGAGACTGGGATATCCCCTCCCCCGGACCCCTCGATCTCCTCTTCGCCTTAAAACCCGATTTGACACGAGAGAGAACTCTATCTGTCCCTCTCCCTTTCCATGCCCATGTGTCGTACGGCACACCATAAATGGTGGAGGGGCAGGTGCGAGAGCTACACATGCAATCCCGTCACGCGCAGAGCTAAATCAGGATTTCGCGTCACGAGAGAGGGACTGAGTGGAAGGGAGTGGATAGGGGTACGACGGCACAGAGGAAAGAAGGGCAAAAGGCACCGATGGTAAATACGGACACATAAAAAAAACCTGTATCCGTACGCGTGGCGACTTTTTACGGAAACCTGGGACTTCCCGGCTTGACCCTCGCGCCGTACACGCGCACAGGGGTTTAAAAGCGTCCCCTACAGCGCCTTGAGCTCTTGTAGTGAGTGTTCATGTATATACATATAAATCTCGCGTGGGACGCGTCTTGATATTTCCACTTCGGTTCTGCAGCCTCTATATACGGGAGTGGTTATATTATATGTGCATTGAGGTCATTACGTAGTTGTCGTCCGAGGGAAGGGTTATAAGCTCCGGATGTATATTTAGGTACACCAGAGCGTATACGTTTATCGTTGTACACGCGTATGGAGCTCGGATTTTCTCTCTTTTTTTTCTGTACACAATCGCGCCCTTGTTTGGAATTTCCCCGTTTTTTCCACCGTAAAATGGACAAAACGGTACTACAAAAAATTCGGAAAAGTGTGCCAGGAAGCGCCCCTACACGTGTATGCTTTCTTTCCATTTTCCCTACTACCCGGCATTCGTATGAGGTGCCTTTCATCGCGCAAAACAACTACTCGCGTTTCCATCTCGGGTACTTGTAGGTATACATACTACATATATGTACTCTCACATTGAACGAAATAGCGAGTAATTATCATGCCCCTCGCCGCGCGTTGTTCAACCAAAATATTTTCAAGAACGAAGTGGGGCGGACTAGTTGTTTTTTTCATTATTCGCGCTGTAGGTACATTTGTTTTCCAATACATTGCGAGTGCAGTGCAAATATTTTACTTGCACCTCGAGAAATGCCGATGCAGAAAAAAAAAAAAAAAAACAACATTTTTTGCGGCGCGTGTCTCTACCCTTACTCTCGCTTCAACTGCATTATAACAGACATCAGCGTCCCATATATTCGCGCGTGTACGGTACACAGCACAGTAATTCGGTTAAAAGTCGCGATGCGCCCCGTAAAAAAAACGTGCCCCGTCCGTCTCTGCGGTACAAACTCGTTTTATACGCTTATCCGAGTACCCCACGTGCGATATATTTTAGGAGGCCTCGATTCGGTGCACGTCCACGCGCGTGCATCCCCCGCGGTCCGACTTTTTCCTTACTCCCGGTACACGGCCACCCTCTCCCTCCCTTTCGAAATGTGGTGTATATAAAAGCTAAGATGCAGTGCACGGTAGTTTAGCATTTTTATCGATAAGAAGGAAAGAAAGAGAAAAAAAAAAAGAAAGGTACGTAGGTACGTATAGTAACGGCGCCGCGTCAGCAGGGCCATTATACACGCCCCTCGATTTTCGCGCTGCACTGCAATCACGACCCTATATACCGCGTACGTATAGGATACCGGCGCATCGGTGGAAAAGAAGAAGAAAAGGAGGAACTTGGTGGTCCCGACTTTTCGCCGCTTTCATGCAAATATAGTACCGTCTGTGGGGGGGAGGAGGGAAAAGGGTTCGAGGGGGTGGGGGTTTCCTTTTCCACCGCGAGTTTTTCCGCGATCGAGCGCAAAAGAAAAAGTTTTCCCTTTCATCTCCGCGCGTCCAATCGCCCAGGTACGACCCGAAGTTTGCGTATGGGGGTGTAGGTATATATATCGCCAGGAGGGGATCGATGTATACCTCTGGGGGGGGGGAAGGGGGTGGAAAAATCGAAAGGGACTGATTTACGGTCCACGAGGACAATTCGGTGGCTCTTTTGGAGGGGAGGAAAAAGTGCCCATAGGGTTTTTCTCTCGGGTTATTGTTGCCGGTCTCGGTCGGGAACAATTGAATCCTGCCCCGAGACTCACACGAGGTACAGCGGAAAAGAAACTCCGACGGCTAGGGGTTGGCGAATGAAAAAGTGTTGACTCGAGACGAGCGAGTGACGCGCGCGTAGGGGGGGGGGAGAGCACATACGTGGCTCAAAGTTGTTCCGTGGAGCTGGACTTTCCTGCGCCGTCTCTCTTTTGTAATTTTTCGCGACACGCGCGCGCGCTTTTCTTTTCGAGGGGAAGGAAGCTCGATGTCGACTTGGGGGAATGGGCGAATAGAGATAGAGAGAGGAACTTTTGCCCTGTACTCGAGTTTCTTTCTTACTTGCGCAAAGTCGAGCGACGCACTGATGTGCCGCTCACTTATGCACTTGGATGCACGTATACATACATGTACGATGGAGCAAGCTCGTCCTTCCGAAGTATCGTAATGACATTTCGTCCCGATGTGCGAGTCTCTTTGGGGGGATCGCTCGAGTCAACTTTTCATCGTTTCCTCCGTACATTGTACGCCAGCCTTGTTTTTCTTTACTCCCTGATGGCTCCGAGTTTTTCTGACTGCCCGCACTTTGATGGTTTTTCTTGATTTTCTCTCTTCGTCAGGATGGTAATGGAAAAGCCATCGGATGCTATTATTTGCTACTTTTTGAAGGGACTTTTTTTTTTTAGTTCGCCTATGCTCACTGCTTTGCAACAATAATTACTGCATTTGTGCTGCAAAAAAGCTACAGTGTTACAGCCCAAAGGTGGATTGAAAGAAAAATCCACCGTACCGATACGGAAAGGAAATTCGATCAAATGCTCCATGATGGAAAAAAAAAAAAAAAAAAAAACATCTCTCTCACTGCAGAGTCAATGGAACTTGCAAGTGGATAACGTCGTCGTGCAGTTTGATCGAAAAGTTTCGTAGCTGTACAGTATCTGTACAGTATCATACGTGTGAGGGATGAACAGACAGAGCGACGCTATTAACTTGAAATCACGCGTGCATTGTATATTTTATATTAGCACGTTTGTTTGGTTGTACCAGTTCTTACGTTCGCCTATCCATGGCTCCTCGATTTTACTGCTAACCATCAAGCGTGTACACAGGAATGAGTACACACATCCAGAGGAATTTGAAAGGGGGGGGGGTTCTGGTTGAAAAAAAGAGGCCGTGGGGGGTGATCGACGTATGCACAAGCGCGCGCGGCGTTTACGCTACTTTGACGAGGCCGGAGGAGAAAAAGGGAGGAGGCGACACAATGCCAGCGTGAAAACAATGCCGGGCCCTTCAAACGCGCGGACAATGCGAGCTCACAACAACGCGGAGGTTCAATACACGCGCGGGGGGTGCAATATTTATATCGATCTTTCCGTTTGATACGAAACTTTTTTTTCCGAGCTCTCGCTCTATCTTTTCTGTTTCTATAGGCGTATTTGGATCTAGATTTTTTTTAACCTTTGGATGGGCATCGTGGGCTTTTTGTAGGCCGCAATTGAAAAATTCATGCGTTCCACGAATGATCGTGAGATCGGTAGTTTAATCTGGAAAAATGTGCGTGAAAAAGTTGGGGTACATTCGATAGCAATCGAAAGAGCCTTACATGAGCTTTAATTTTAGTTCCGATGAAGTTGAAATAATTGATTGAGTCGATAACGTGTACTGAAGATTTTTCATGCCATCGGAACAACTGAAATTAAATTTTTTCAACATCAACTTTTTCATTTTTTCAGCACTTACTTTTCTTGGCAATTTTTTCTGTAGATTAATGAAAAAAAGTGCATGCATCCGGGGAACACCACATTTGCTCTATCTAATGATTTTTCGTAGATCTGCGTATACGCATGGCTTTCAACTGAATCCGCATCCACGGCAAACTTTTTTTCCCGTATCAAAGGGCCACCGCATATACAAAGCGTATCGGAAAATCCTTTGAAAACGCAAAGCCGGTCGGATCGCAGTGATAACGAATCCCGATTTTAATTGGCAAAAAGTAAAAACAACAACACGAAAATGAAAATCCCTTCAACGCGGAGTAAAAAAAAAAAAAAAAAAAAAAAAGGTATAACTTTTCAATCCCGCGCATTTGCAGTTTCGCAAAAATTTCATCGTATACCGATGCATGACGAGCTCCGATAACTCGATTTATCGGTCCGGTTCTCTCTTCGCACTCGATTTTTCCAGCAGCAGCGGCGACAGTAGCCAGTAAATTATACGTTCCGCCATAGGGAACCCGAGCGCAGGGACAAACACGAAAGCGAAGAAAAAACGCGCACCGCAAATAAATTACACCGCAGCACCAGGCCGGAGGTGTAGCGCGTATGTATGTATGTCACGGACTCGTTTCCACACCGCAGGTATCGATCAAAATCACTCCTCGGCGTACACGAAGTGCAACCGTACACGCGAACCTAACTACGCCGATCACTATTGTGTCGCGGAGCATAGAGAGAGAAA